AAACACCTCTTTTCATCCAATTATCCACTCAAAATATTAGAACACCATATAAAAACTCAAAACAACCTCTTAAGAATCTAAAGAAACCAAAGCTTATAAAAATAAAGCCTTTGGATCAAAATTTAAAAATTCTCTCTTCCAAAAATTGAAAAAAAAATTAAGAGGAAAAGGAAGAGGATTGAAGTAGAAAATTTATCTACGTATAGCTGAGCTTACAACAGCTACAAAGCCTTTCCAAATTTGAGTCTAAGTCCTTTTCTTCCTCCTCTCTTCTTCCTCTCACACTCTCATCCGTGCGTTTCTTTTCATTTGTTTCTACTTTCATTTCTGCGTGCTGTTTCTTTCAAAAAACTGATCTTAAAACATTTTGAAAAATTACAAAAAAGAGCCCAATATTTTTTATTATAGCATAAAAGTTCGGGTCAATTTTGATAATTTTTTCATAGTTAAAAATAAAATAAAACCAAACTTTTGCTTAGTAAAATTCAACTATGAACTTCTATCAAATTATTCTTAATTTTAATTAATTATAGATATTTTATTTTAAATTAAAATTGAGTCTTAAAATTTTTAGGATGTTACATTTTTGCTTGATGCATAAATGGGAGAGCAGTTTGGACTTAAGCAAACTAAAATTCAGGTTTAAAGTGGATGGTTTTTTTTTTTGAGTGATTCCATTATAATTGTTTTGGTTACTGGTTGAGGAGGATGGTAGTGAGTTAGAATTGTATATAAGTTTAAATTGATTCTTGATGGGATATGAATTTAGAAAGTATAATAAATCTAAATGTTGGTATTGAAAATTATTGGGCAAGAGTTAGGAATCCCAATTGATTAAATTAGGGGTTGATGTTGAAGGTCTGGGAGAGGATCATGTCTCAGTCAAAGGTTTAGTTGTGGCTAAGGTATTTTGGAGGAATTTTGCGATATAGAAGATGGTGTTCATGGAAACTTGAATTGTATAAATTAATTATGATTGTGTTAATTTTGGAAGGAAATTTATTGAACTTGTAGAAAGTCTATTGAAATCCTATTATATCTTAGAGAGTGTTGGGAAAAAGAGGAACTTGATAGGAGTTGAGAGAAGTAACTCTTTGGATTTGTGAACATATGGGTAAGTAGATAACATCCAATTAACTTATCAATAAAATTTCTTTTTACTAAAATAGTTTTTTTTTTACATGTACTATTTCAAGTGGTTACAAATGTTGAATTTTTTATTAAATAAATTACTGAGCCTGCATTTTCATGTTGAAGAATAGATAAACTTCTATATGCATTGTACATTTCCCTATAAAATATACTTTTCAACTTGATAAAAATGTTTATACAAGTTCTAGAATGTTTCTACCTGGAAAAGGCAAGCTTGGAAATTGGTGGGCAAGTTTAAGAGAAATTAATTATGAATTTTTATATTTGGAATATTGATGATTTAAATGATTCATGCAAATTTGATATTAAAAAAATAAATTTATATTTCAAAAGTGATTACTTTCTTGCATGTTTAAAAATTGTTTTTAAAGGGACTATATACAAAACACTGATTGCTAATAGAAGCTCCATTAGCCCTTGGCATACCATGGCCAAAACCTAACTAGCTTGTTACTCATGGGCATAATACTCACGTTTGATATTTGTGAGTATTACACTCACGTTTGTTTTCTAGGGGTCTAATACATGTATTTGTTTTCGTGGTTTCAAGCCACATTTGGTTAGTATTACTCTTATGGGCCGTGTATTCATATTTATTTGTAACTCAGGCTATGTTCGGTTATTTACCTTGTAAATTGTGTGTTTACGTTTGTTTTTATGACTTAGATCGCATTAAGTTATTTACCCTCATGGACTGTGTATCCATGTTTGTCTTCGTGGCATGAGCTGCATTCGATTACTTACCCTTGTGGACTGTGTGTCCACGTTTGTTATCTATTCTAGTAAAGTCCCAATAAAATATAATTTAATTTTTAAGTCATTTATTATATATATGATTTTATTCTAATCTTATTGACAAGGTTACTACAATCTTCATTTTACTAGTTCAATCATTCATGATTTGAATATAAATTTTATATTTATATTTATGCAAATGAGAATGAGTGATGATGGATATATGTATGTATGTATGTAGGTATGTTGTTCACCAAGTCAATATGTCATGGAAATTTTTCTTTTATTTTATCTTGAAAAAAAAATGTTTACATTATACTAAATTAATTCTTTAAAGTAGTTAAACATTTCCTTTGTTATGTTTTTGTTATTCTTTAATTTTATAATTGGGATATTATTCACTAAAAAATATTTTGACTTCAGATAATAGCTGGACCTGTATCTACTATTGATCATTAAGAGCTTTATCGCTAAACTGATATAGAAGAATTTCTTGGGACAAATCTCACTTGGTCTGAACGTGAGCTTAATTATTATTTTTATAGTTTGTTTTATGTGTTTTTCATTGATTTAGATAAGATCTTGATCTATTTGTATAAATTGACTATTTGATGTTGAGGAGCAGAGCTCCTTATTGCTAAACTATTAAAAATTTTGTTGTTATAGAAATTTTTGGATGTTCTGTAAAATAAATAGAAAAAAAAATATTTTGTCTATAATATAAGTATGGTAAGAATTTATTTTATTTTATTATTAACAAGTTCAAATTATTAATTTTAGAAGTTTATTGAATTAAGGCTAAAGGATATGGGTTATGTGTGCATATTCTATGCTGGCTACTGCCGTATTTTGGGGTATGACAATGATAATGCAATGCTAACTAAGTTAAATTAGAGCATTTGATGCATAAAATAAAAGATTTGACCTACAATGTCTGGAAATCACTTTCCGATGCTAGCAAGTGTTGTCGTCACATAGCCTTCATCATAAAACAATCATCTTTTTTTTTTTTTTAACCTTCTGCTAATTCAAATTGCCAACCCATATTGTGTTTTAAATATGCTAGTATCTTCATTAACGTTGTTAGTTACACATCAAACAATTTAATACTGTTTTTTGTGCCATGTCATTGTCCCTCTAGACATATTTAAAAGGAGAGGGATTAACATTGTAGAGGTGAAAAAATAAAAAAACCTGTAACATTGAGAGAAAAACATAGCGACCAATAACAAAATACAATAAAATTATTGGGGCCAATCCTAAAATTAATTAACAAAATGCATTTCTATTTGACTAGCAAGAAAGAATTAATGGTCTTTTTTAAATATATAACGTAGTTAAATTAATTTAAAGGGTGTAACAAAAAAATGGACTAAAGATGTCAATTAAGTCCGTTGAACTTTTTTATATGCTAAAGTCTCAAAGGTCTTCGGGATTATTTCAGACAATCTAACACAAGAGAAATAACTAAAATGTAATACTCTTTGATCGCTCTTCCTTGAACCATTAGTGCTAATAATTGACCAATGGCTACTGGTTATACAATTGCCACTAGTAGACATATCGCCGGAACGATAATCGACATTGATGAGTTATTAAGAAAAATACTATTTTTAATTTAATAATATCTAATGAAAATATTAACACTTTGATATTTAATAATTTAAATATCATTATTTTTTTGACTGAATTTAATTAAATATCATTATTAGTTTAAGGACTTCTGCATAATTTAATTTGTAGCTACACCTATGAAAACATCATTATCCATTTGAAACTGTTATTACATTTTTAATTAAAAAGGTTAATGTTTTTGAAATTTTACAATTTATTACCCAAAAAATTAAAAGTAAAGTTTTTATGGTTGTGTGATAATTTACAAACGGGTAAGACTTAAATACTTAATTTTATATATTTAATGTATATATTTAATATATTTTTATCTAATTGAATCAAGATAAGTATATTTTAATGTATTAATAATATTAATAAAAAAATTTGTTATAGAATAAATAATCATTAAAATATTCACATGCCTTGATTTAATTAATTAAAATAAGTACATTAAGTATATAAATTAAGTATATAATTTTTAAGCCATCCTTTAAAAGTTTTAAGTCAAACTATGAAATTTATAACTCAACAGTAGTTTTTCACATAGTTTCTTTAATCTTCGGGTCTGGAGGATTAATTAATTTTCTCCTGCGAAACACCCCGACTTGACCCTTTGATCGAATTCTTCTATTTATAATAATGTGCCATATTCAGCATTTATTTTAGTTTGGATAATTACTCATCTTATCCTATTTATAAATCACTTTTAATATAGTTAATCAAAATCAAAGAAAATATTAAAACTCAATAATTCTATCAAAAATTTAATAAATTTCTATTTTTACTCTAATTAAATATATATCCTTTAATAACATATTTTCTCTCATTAATAGTTAATAAAATATAAAAAGAGAAAATTATGATGAAAATCATTCTTTTCTCTACACCTTATAAATAGAACAAAAGAGAGTATTTTCTAGAGAAATTCTTAGCCATACTAATAAGAATATAGTCGCCACGTTTAGCTTTTTTTTTTTTTTTCCAAACTACTTTCTTTTATGATTTTCGGTCACGTGTGTTTTGATCCTAAATTAACTAACAATCCCAATTAATCTCCAGCAATTATTGAGCCATTAATTTCAGACAATGAACCTGTACACTGACCAACACTAGTACCAGTGCATCTACACACATATATGCATGTATGCACGGTCATGATTCATATCTGATCCAATTATTTGGAAGTCAAATCTGTTGCATTTATTATTTCCCTATCCGGTTACATATGTATATGTATATGTATATGTAAGCAGATACACAGAATCATGAGGTAAAGTTCCAAAGCAGGTTGTTTACCCAAAAAATAAAAAAAGTTCCGAAGCAGGTTAATGCTTATTATAAATCTTCATAAAATCAAGATTAAAGTAAAATATGACCATTTATTATTCCCTCACTTTGACTTTTGATTATTTCTATTTTTATTTAATGTAAATAACAATAATTAATTGTGAAATGAATTAGTCAATATATACTAATTAATGTTTTAGAGGAAGGCATTTTTCCCATAATCTTAGGTATACAATAATCAACCCGCACCATAGACCATATATAGTGCATTGTTGCACAAACTAACAAACAGTAACAATGGCCAAGCAGCACTGGATAGCTCTCATTTCTGTGTGTTTCATTATTCTTCTTCCATGTCTTTGCATGGCCACTGAAAATGATAATGATGATACAAAAACGTACATCGTCTACATGGGATCACTTCCTCGGGGATTACCTGATTACTCTCCAACCTCCCATCACCTTAGAATTCTTCACCAAGTTCTTAACGATGACGTCAATGGCATTAACAATGACGCCACAAGTTCCCTGATCCGGAGCTACAGGAAAAGCTTCAATGGGTTTGCTGCAAAACTCACCAGTGATCAGAGGGACAAGATAGCTGAGATGGACGAGGTGGTCTCCGTGTTTGAAAGCAAACAACTTCGAATTCAGACAACAAGATCCTGGGACTTCATGGGATTCACCGAGTCAGCAATAAAGAGAAACGTGTCAGCTGAAAGTGATGTTATCGTGGGAGTTATAGACACCGGAGTGTGGCCGGAATCTGAGAGTTTCAGTGACGAAGGTCTGAGCGATGTTCCGAAGAAATGGAGAGGGACTTGTGCCGGCGGGAGGAACTTCACCTGCAACAAGAAGGTCATCGGAGCTCGGTCCTATGCAAGTGATTCTGCGAGAGACGAAAATGGCCATGGAAGTCACACTGCCTCTATAGCAGCTGGGAACCTTGTTAATGGAGTCAACTTTTATGGAATAGCAAACGGTATGCGTGACTTTCTAGTTTATAATGTTAGGGCTTGTTGGATTTTTGTTTTTTAAAACTGCTTTTTATTTTAAAAATAAAATAAAATTTTTGTCTAGATGAGTGTTTTGAATTACAATGCTGTTTTTGGCCAAAAAAAAAAATTACAACGTTTTTCAAAACAAAATAAAATGAAAACATTTTGGTTTAAAGTACACAGCAATTTAATTATTATAAATTCTCTTTTAACTATGGTCAATTACTATTATAGATTATCATTATTAATTGCTAGTGACCATCACTATCTGTCAATATTTTTACAGTAAAATTGTTTTCAAATTAACAAAATCTAACATGTTTTCATTTTGTTTGGTTTTATTTTCAAAAACAATTTCTGAAAATTGGCGTACAAAATGGTTTTACAAATTAAAAATGAGAACAAAACCAAACAAGCTCTTAGAATTTAGAATTATATTTTATTTTTAGTTCTTATAGTTTTCCTTCATTATTCCGACTTTCTTTAGTTTTATTCATTTGTAATGTTAGTCCTTATAATTTTAAAAATGCATATAAAAATTGGTGTATTGAAAGGAATTAATAATTTCATTGTAATAATGCTAACTTCTTTGTTGACATGGTAAAAATACATTAACATGAAAATGAATTGACCATAAATATATTGTTATAAATAAAAGGTAATTAAGATGGGGGGAAAGCTTTCTTTGATATTTGATTTAAACAGAATATGGGAGATGAAGACTAAATTAAGTACATGTCAATAAATGAGTTAATAGAGCTAAGTACACAATAAAATTATATGATCTAAAAACAAAATTATAGTGAATGGAAATTAAGTAGATGTACAGATTTAAAACTAAAAGAACTAAGGTCATGTTTGGTATGATGGAAGAGTTTTTAATGGAATCGGAATCGGAATCGGAATTGGAATTGGAATAGAATTGGATTTAAAAGTGTGTTTGGTATGATGATGGAATTTTGATATAATTTTAATAAAATATAAGTACTTAAAATAAGAAAAGATTAAAGTGTCCTTTTTAAAATTAAAAAAAAATTATATTGGAGGAGAGAGAAGGGGCAAACTGGAGAAAGGGAACCATGGAATTGGATTCCATGATGCATGTGATGGAATTGGATTCTGTCAAATTTCCTTAAATCCTAATTCCAAAGAATCATAATTATTGCATATTAAACATACATGTTAACAGATTCCATGTTCAATTCTATTTCTTTCTCCATGATTCCAAGCTACCAAACGGAGCCTAATACATTGCAGATGAATCAAATTAAAGGAACCACAAATAACGAACTAAAACTATAGGCATTTAAAAGAAAATGCAACCAAAGTACATGACCCTACTGTTATGTTTTCCCAAGTATTTAGTAGGCTTGTCTTTCTTTTGTAAAATAGCTTAAGCCATAACACTTGTTAACTTTAATTAAGGTTATGCACAATTAATTCATTCTCCAATTACTTAACATGGGACTTTGCTCCAACAGGTACAGCAAGAGGAGGAGTTCCATCTGCAAGAATTGCTACATATTCAACTTGTGATACGTCAGGATTATGTTCTGAGCACAATATATTGGCTGCTTTTGATGACGCCATTTCTGATGGCGTCGACGTCATTTCTGTGTCACTAGGAATGACACAACCTAAAGATTTTCTCGATGATTCCTTAGCCATCGGTGCTTTTCATGCTATGGAGAAAGGAATCCTCACTGTCCAAGCTGCTGGCAACTCTGGTCCTTTCTTTGCCACAGTTTCAAGCGTAGCACCATGGATCCTAGCTGTTGCAGCAAGTAGCACAGATCGTAAAATCATCGACAAACTTGTTCTGGGCAATGGACACACACTGGTTGGCAACTCCATTAATGCTTTTAACTCAAATGGGTCCAAGTTTCCTATAGCTAAGATAAATAGTGATTCAGATGAATGTTCCAAAGAAGAAGGAAGAAGTTGCTCTTGTTTTGACAAAAACTTGGTGAAAGGAAAGATTGTGTTGTGCAATGAAGATTTGCCTGCAAGCACCAGTGTTAAGTCTCAAGGCGTACTTGGAGTCATCACAACTTCAGAATCCTATAATGAAGATTTGTCAAGCATTGTGTATCTACCATCATTGGACATTTCCAAAGAAGCTTTTGTTACTATTGGTTCATACATGAATTCAACCAAAGATCCAAAGGCAGAGATAAAGAAGAGTGAGATGGTTCTAGATAAGAACGCCCCAAGAACAATTGATTTCTCTTCACGTGGGCCTAATTTCATTGTAGGAGATATCTTAAAGCCAGATATAAGTGCTCCTGGAGTTGATATTTTGGCTGCATATTCACCAAATGGACTTGTTTCAAAATATGCAGAAGAAGAAAGATCTGTCAAATACAACTTTTTGTCAGGAACATCCATGTCTTGCCCTCATGTTTCTGGAATAGCTGCATATTTGAAGACCCTTCATCCAGATTGGTCTCCTGCAGCTATCAAATCTGCCATTTTAACAACAGCAAAACCTATGAAGAAAGTTAATAATTCTAAGGATGCTGTTGGTGAATTTGAATATGGATCTGGACATGTGAATCCAGTACAAGCTAGTGATCCAGGGCTGGTTTATGACATATCCAAGGATGATTATGTGGAAATGTTATGCAACTATGGTTTCAGTGCTTCACAGATTAAGAAGATTTCTGGAGACAATAGCAGTACTTGTCCCAAATCTTCTCACAGAGATTTAGTCAAGAATCTCAATTATCCTACACTTGGAGCGAAAGTTAAGCCTTTAACCTCATTCAAGATTCAGCTTAATCGAACTGTGACAAATGTTGGATCTGTGAACTCAACCTACAAGGCAAGGATTCTACCAGCAAGTTCTCACAAGGTAGATATTAGAGTGGAACCTGAGTTTCTCATGTTCAAGTCATTGAATGAGAAGAAGTCTTTTGTTGTGAACATTATTGGGAAGGGCATTGCAAATCAAGGTGCAATTTCATCTTCATTGATATGGTCAGATGGCACCCACAATGTGAGAAGCCCGATTGTTCTGATGGCGTTTTGATGAGTACTTTTATAGATCCATTTCTCTAATTGAGTTATTCAAGTTTTTTAGGACTTGATCCTTTTTTATTGTTTTTATAAATAAAAGTAAATATAGTTGCAAATCTGTTTACTGTTCTGTTTATGTACACTTTAGGCTTAAATTTAAAAAGTAAATTTAGAAAACAAAGATCTTTAATTTGTCTTCAAAATATACAGAGATAAAATTAATTAGTCTCTTTTCACAGAAGTTCATATAACTATATAAGATGTCAAAAGAATTATTTTGTGAAGTGATTGCGCCTCTACTAAATAAATCTCACAAAAGTGCTATGTTGAATCTGAATTTTAAAACATGATTCTGTTCAAGACTGATATAAACTACAGTAAAAGGACTAAAAATAATAATTAAATAAAAATTAAGAGAGAAAATTGAATTAAAGGACTTAGACACTGTAAATTAAATAAGGTTAAATGGTAATTTATACCTAAAATCCAGGGGCGAAAATGGTTAGTTCAAATCGTGGGTCCACTCTCAGTCTCACCCAAACCTCCATCGCTGCCGGATAAACCATTTCTGTTTGGGGCAAATAAAGGAAGAAACACACTCAGAACGACCAGAAGCAACTAAAAACCGGACCAAAAGGGATCGAAGACTCTAAAATTGATCACAGAGCTGAAAGTTACAGAGTATGACAGAACCAAAGAAAAGCGACATATCACCTGCTGCGGATAGGAGGCGGGCTTTGAATCCCATGGGAACTGAAGTATTTTGCAAGGCAGAGGGCGAACGTAATCGGCGGCGACGGTTGCAGAAACGACGACGAAGGTGACAGTTATAATCAGTTGGAGTTCCATGATCGGTAGGTAGGTCCTCAGTAAGACGCGGACGTTCAAGGAGTCTGATCAATGCCACCGATGGTCACAGACCCTCTTTCTTTCGGAGTTGGCCATAACCCAAATGCAAATACAACTTCAGGATTCAAACGTTGACCAGCCTTGTAGTTGAAGGTGCAAATTATCATTTAATACTAATAAATATGCTTATAGATAAAAACATAATTCGTATACACCAATAATTGAATTAATAAGAAATTTTGGTAAAAATTAATTCCAAATAAAATCTGGGGAAAGATAAGAACTTTGAAGTTAAGTTAAAACTGAAACATAAAGTCAAAATTTCAAGACATATGAAAATTAAAAATAACCCTCTGGATTTTGAATAGAAACAAAAAAATTGTTAAAATATATTTTTAATCATTTAACTTTATATAATGTTCAATTTAATCCTTTAATTTTTTAAAGTATTTTTTAAATTTTTTAATTCTAACATCATTAGTTTTAAATAATTATCTTTTGCATCAATCATCATTATTTTAAAAAATTAAATTTAATATATTAATATTTAAAAATATTTTATTAATATTTAAAATTTTAATGTAAAAATTTATTAGAATAAAACTAATAATATTAGAAATAAAGGACTAAAAATATATTTTATAAAATTAAGAAGTTAAAATAAAATATTAAGTAAAGTTAGAGAATTAAATATATATTTTAACCTATAAAAAATAAACATTTGGATTTAAATGATTAGTAATAAAAATATTATTTGAAAGCAGGTAAAAACAAAAAAAAAAAAAGAGGCGTAACTTTACAAGAGTAACGAATTATGATAGATTAACAAAAATTAAAATACATTTCAAATACAATTAAAAAAAAACTTATAAAACCTCTGGCCTAAGAAAAATTTGAAAAGCCAAATGAATGCCAGGGCTACTAACGTTGTTTCTTAATTCAGGTAAAAGATTAAAATATTATTTTAACAAACCAAAAGTTGATTGGTTGCTAGATGATTATCTAATCAATATTGCGAGCAACAACACAAGCTAGTAAATAACTACAATAATAAGTCTTATTCTATTAGATTAGATTAATTATATAAATTGCACAACACTATTTTATTATATCATTTGTTAAGCTTTTAAAAATGTTATCAATTGAAAAATCTTGATCAACAATTTTTATAAATATTTTTTTTGGCCTTCATCTACTCCTTTTTACAAGACTCAAAATTATCCATTATTCCACTCTCTTTGCCAATATCTCACACAGTCTTTTTTATACATGTCTAATCATTTCAAATAATTTTCTATCATTTTTTCTTCAATAGATGTGATACCCACTTTTTCTCATATATTGTATTTTTATGTGTATACCTACATATCCATCTCAACATTTTCATGTCTGTTACTTCAACTTTTATGCTCCTATTGTCCATTTTAAAACCTAACATTTACTACCATATAATATAATTGGTTTTATAGCATTTCGATAATACTTCCCTTTAAGTTTACTTAATATCTTTCGATCACAAATAACTCATTTACCTTTTTTAAATTAAATTACTCAACTTGTATTCTATGTACAACATGTCCATTAATTTCTCCATCATGTTGAATAATAGCTTTCAAATATTTAAATTTTTTCACTTGAGGCATAATATATGGTCTTTGATGACTCCAAATATTTTCATGTGTTTTTACAAAATTTTGAGTTCAATTTGGAGTCATCTAAATAAGTTTGAGAGAAAATGAAACTGTTATTTGAGAAAATGAAAGAAAAGTTCTTTTGAATATGAGAAGGGAGAACTAGTAATATCTTTTTGAAATGAATGGATTACTTGAGCTAAACTTTCATTAATGATATTATATTGTGTTTAGAGTCATTTAAATTAAGACTCAAAGTGCTATATGTAAATAAAGATTTAAAATGAAAAAAGGTAAAATTTATGCTACAACATATCAAAATTACGTTATAGTATAATTCATTGATAGCGACAATGACAATGGGATTTACACTGCAACATAACATGATTATGCCGTAGCATAACTGTCACTGTCATTGTCATTGCCACTATCAATGAATTACACTGTAGTATCATTTGGATATGCTATAGCATAAATTTTGTCTTTTTTTTCATCTTCAATCGTTACTTTTAAATTACCATCGACTGACTTTTTATCAAAATTACAAAACAAATATTCCGTTTTACTTCTACTCAAGTGAAAACATTTAGACTCCAATATTCTTCTTCATAACTCAAAATTACAATTATTTTTTTCTTGTTTTCACAATAAAAACTGTATTATCCACCAAAAACATGTATTCAGGAATTTTTTTTTGAATATGTTTAATTAAAATATTTATGATCAAGTCAAACAAATAAGGATATAAGGATGATCCCTAATATAATTTAATCTTTGTAGAAAAGTCTTTTGTTTATCGCCAAACATTCTTATACTAATTGTTGTCCCCTCATACATATTGTTACACTTTGGTATTAAGGATATGACCCACGCAGAATATAAGATAACCTCACATTTCATAAGTCTTACTTAACCAGAAATTAAACTAAAATATCAATATTTAATTTATATATATTTATAAAGTTCGTGAAATCTTAAATATTTTGTAAAAATTTCGGCAGAACCTCCTCTTTAATTTAAATCTCCCAAAATATAAAAACATGCTTTATGAATATCAACAACAATAACTAGGTAAATGTATAAATCATGAATATATATATATATATATATATATCCAAATAAAATTATTAGAAGTTCAAATTTCCTTTCCTTCTTCTCTTGTTTTTTCCTACACATATTTAAACATCTTGGGATATATATTGTTCAATATAAAATTTATATATAGTGAAAATAGTAGTTTGCTTTTTGAGATCAAATTTAAAGAAAATAAGTTTTAAATTTCCTTCTTTAGCAAGACTTAATCAAAATGATTAACAAACGTGAACATACAATCCATGAGAATAAATAACCAACAAACATAGACACACAGTCTATAAGAATAAGTCACTGACAAAAACAGTTTAAAGCCACGAAATAATCAAGCGTGCTTAAAAGTCACAAAACAAGAGCACGCATGAAGCCCACGAATATATATTCCTTAGTTCCACGTGCGTTGGCCCGTGCATGGGGCTAACACCTCCTACATGCATCTTACTAATTAGATGTATTATAGTGTGCCAAAGGCCAACAAAATTGTCGTTAGCAACTAACATTTTAAACTCAATCTCCTTAATTAAAATCAAACGTGCTTGGATATAAACATCCATTTTAAAATCATTCCTTTCAAAATATAATGTTCAACTATCTACTTTCCCATTCAAAATTTTTTGTCCATGTATGAATCACTGTATCAACAAATTTCAAATCAATTATAAAATTTAAACAATATAATTATTTTAAATGAATAATTGATACATTACATATTGGATTTAATAGCATAACTTCTTGATAAAAGAGAATAATTTCAATAATAAATTAATTAAATAAAAATAGGATAAGTAGAGAGGATTATATAAATTGTAAAGAAAATAATAATAAAGACGTTAAATAAAGTATTGAATAAAGATATTTAAAAAAAAACTTTAAAAAAATTTAATTGGGATACACTCATGCACTTGAAAGATTTTCAAGAATTAACTTGTTTCTTTTAATTTTTTACTTTAATTCTAATAATATTCTTAATTTCTTGATAAATAAATTATAATCATAAAATCATTTATTAAATAATTTTCAAGTCAAATTTAGGAACGAGCATTTTAATTTAAAACTTACCACCACACTTTTATGTTCAAATGTCATTTCTTAGAGCTTTCTTATCAACAATATAAACTTTTAAACCAAATATAAAGTTCTTCTTTCTTGTTGATAAACCTAAATTTAATTATACTATTCAATCAATCTTACCATTCTTTTAAGCATTTAAACAAACCTTCTCAAAGCATTCCCATTTGCTTACTAAAACTAGGGGTATTCAGTCTGGACCCGTCCCGACTGGTCTAGTATCGTCCCAATCATATCGGGACGGGACAGGAAGGGGGTTCGGGACAGGACGGGACACAGGATTACCATCGAGATGTCCCGTCCCGTCCCAAATATTATATATATTATTTTTTATTTTAAATATATTAATTATATTAATATAATTTATACTTATATTAATTATATCAATTATAATTTTAATACTTGTAATTCTTATTTAAAATTAATTTTTTTATATTAATAATTTTAATGGCATGAAGTAAATATGGCAATATCTTTCTTTATAATATATTAATTATATTAATATAATTTATTCTTATATCTATCAATTTAATAACTTTTATTTATAACATATTTCTTACTTATTTTTAAAAGAGTAATTAGCTTAGTACATCTTTATTAAAGTAGAAGAACAATAATTTGATATTGTGTTTGACTTGCCTGTTGTTGCTAATCTTATAGCATAAAGATCACTTATATTTGTCATTATAATATGTAGTTATGATTAATATAATTCAATAACTAATTTTAAATTATTGTTATTTATGTGCTTGTGTTGTTTTGATTTTAAACTTAATAAATTATATGATTTAAAATTTTAATGAACGTTATTACTCAGATCTTTTTTCGATATTATTCCATTTATCGGGACGACGAGACGTCCCGATCTTGTCCCAGTCCCATCCCGACTTTTAACGAGACGGGACGATTTTCGAGATGAGACGGGACACGGGACCAAAATTCAATCCCGATCTTTTTTTCTGGACGAGACACGGGACGGGAGTGTCCCGATCCTGTCCAGTCCCGCGAACACTCCTAACTAAAACCTTCAATCTCACTTATTAAGAAATTTTCAAATACTTGATGGATATTTAAATTCAATCCTAAACAACATTACAGCTAAAAATACATAACCAATAAATTTATTATTAAATTTAGTAACTTAGTAACAACCCAGTTACATATGCTCCTCACACAAGAGTTGGTTAAATCTCAAAAAATACATATTTAAATAAAGTTTTTCCTAACAAGCATCTTGTAAAGCATCTTTTATACATTAATTCATAAACTCTAACTAAACTTTTTCTTCCTCGATTCCATCTCCCAAAATTTTACAACATAGCTTTTTAACTCAATCAGCTTCTCAAATTCATTTCTTTAACACAAAGCAAATCAATTTAACTCAAAAAATTAAATCCCCATCAAGATTCAATTAAACTTAAAAAACTTTTAAATCACTACCATTCTCCTCAAGTTTGAACTAAAAAAAATTATAGGGAAATATCAGACTAAAATCAGAATCATAAGACGTCAATTTCAGCTCAACCTCATCATCAAATAACTTCCAGCACATGGTCTACGCCGAAGAAGGAAAGGAGAAGTTTCGACGTGCTGCACGAACGAGAAGGAGAGACATCAGAAATCGTTGACCAGCAAAAGAAATGAATTGAGCTAATCATGCACATATAGACGCGTCCCACAGATGAAGAGGAAAGGAAATTAAAGCTCACACACCAACGATGAAGCAGAGAAGATCAGAACAAAACAGGGGCTGCGGCAAGGGGAAAAATTCTGGTAACAGCAACACTCCCAGCCGCAAGACGTGACGGCGAGGAAGAGACACAGCTGACGCCGAGCAAATAAGATCAACGGCAAGGGGCGGAAAGGCGGTGCGATGGGGGAAGACAAGGAAAATGAAGAACAAGCGATCTCTCTCTTCCTCTCTGTTCTAAGCCATCCGAAGAAGAAAGATAATGAAATATAAAACTTGTTGGGAGAAAAGTATAAATAAAAACCCCATCAGATTTTATTATTATTATTATTATTATATTTTATTTCTATAAAGGTAAGGATACTTTAGTAATTTCATCATACAAAACAAAATAAAACTAATAAGTAAGATTTAAACTTTAAATTTTTAAGTAAGCATCATAGAATTCATTAGGTTACCATTCCTGTTAGTCATGAAATTAAAATAAATAAATAAAATATCAACTAATAAAAAATTATTTAATTTAAAATTTAAGTGCACTACACATATCTTGTATAGCCTTACAATAGCCAAGCCAAACTCCTTTCTTTCCCAAAGCTTTTTAGAGTAATTCTTTTGATATATAGTTATAAGTTTTTTTAAAATTAATGAAAATCATGTGTAAATAATTACCTTTATATTAATATTTTTTATTAATTCCTTTAATGAATAAATCATTTCTGTAGTCACTTTATGCAACATGAAGCTAAATTGATTATAAAAAATATCAATTTTTAATCTCAACTTACACTCAATTTTTTTTACTCATAATTTTATTATATGACTTATAAATTTAATTACTTAGTAGTTTACACAATTTTAGATATCCTAATATTCTAAAAAGTCAAAACTATAAGGTTTCAGTTACATTAAGTGGAAGTTAAAAAATTAAATTAAAATTATAAAGATTGAGTTATAACAACTTCACTTTTAAGAATTAATTTACAATTGAATTAAAATTATAGAATTAAATAATTAATTTTTTTTATTTTTTGTGAAATGACCAAACTATCCCTGTTGTCTTTTTTTAAAAAAAAATTAAAATTCACACATCCCACCACTGTCACTGGACCACTGTTGGAGTCCTATCACTGACAGCAAGGTTACCAGCTGCCGTACCACCACTGATGACCACCGGAGATTAGGCACCGATGGCCAATAATCCCCAAGGTGACCTAGGCTGGTTTGAACCCATGTTATGGAGCCACCAAGCCACTATAACTTCTTATTAGTTGTTTAGTGGAAAATTTTACGTATGTTGTCAACTTCAATTTTTTTAATTAGTTTTCAAATCATTAACTTGTTAAGACGTTTAACTCGAGCTTGTTATTTTGTTTATGTTTATTTGTTAAGTTATTAAGGAGAACTTGTTGCCAAGGTTTAATAAGCAAAAGGTATTCTTATAACCTAATGTTAAGTTTACACAAGTGAACTTGTCATTTTAGTAAAAATCATTTATGTATTTACTAATGTTTAGTTGTCACTTTAATTACTTTTCAAACCATTTACTTGTCGGTCTACTAAGGAGAACTTATCAACAAGCTGGTTCAATGTGCAAAATGTCTTTTATAACTTAAAGTGTGATTGTCAAAATGGTAAGGGAATTTGTTATCTTAGTAAAATTTGGTTGTCAAATTTTCTAAGGTGAACTTGTTGGCTATGTTCAAATGCACGTAAATATTAATAAATTGACAAGTAATCACCAATGAAATAACAAGTTTGGTCAAGTCTTTTATAAGTGTACTTTGTACATATCATATAAAAGACGACCTTGATCATGTTGAACCTTATTAACAAATTCTATCCCTTAGTAAATTGAGATTAAATGCATGTTATTAAAATTACAACTTAACTTTTGTTCTTAATAATGGTTTGGAAACTGAAGAAGTGATAAGTAAACATTAGTATACAAATTCTACAAGTGATTAATTTTTACTAAATAACAAGTTCATCTTCAAAGCTTTTTACTAAAATATCATAAAAAAGGATATATATATATATATATATATATTTTATAGGGGTAGAATTAGAAATTATAAAAATCTTAGATAAAATTGCTCAGCTTTAAAGTTTATTTAATTTTAATAAAATATATTTGAAGTGACTTAAAAATTGCATTAGAAAAGTAGTATATGTTTTGACTAGAATATTAGCTAAAACTCTCAAATCTCCAACAATTATTGAGCCATTAATGTCACGCAATGAACCTGTACAATGACCCAACACTAACAGTGCATCTACACATATGCATGCATGGCCATGATTTATAATATATACGATCCAATTATTTGGAAGTCAAATCTGGTGCATTTATTATTTTCCTGTCTGCTTACAGATGAAAATGTACATAGAAGCAGACAGAATCATGCATGAGGCAGAGTTCCAAAACAGGTTGCTTAATCATTATACATCTTCACAAAATCAAGATTAAAGTAATATGACCATTTATTAATCCCTGACTTTGACTCTTGATATTCTATTTAAATTCAATGTACAAATTAAAATAACAATTCATTGTGAATTGAAGTCAATATCCTAATAAATGTTTTACAAAAAAAAAGTATTAGATTCCCATCGTCTTACATAACCTGCACCACAGTGAATATTGTTGTACAGTAAACAGTAACAATGGCCAAGCAACATTGGCTAGCTTTCATTTCTCTGTCTTTCATTCTTCTTCCATGTCTATGCATGGCTACTCATGAAAATGATGATGATGATACAAAAACGTACATCGTCTACATGGGATCACTTCCTCGGGGATTACCTGATTACTCTCCAACCTCCCATCACCTTAGAATTCTTCACGAAGTTCTTAATGATGACGTCAATGGCATTAATAATGACGCCACAAGTTCCCTGATCCGAAGCTACACGAAAAGCTTCAATGGGTTTGCTGCAAAACTCACCAGTGATCAGAGGGACAAGATAGCTGAGATGGACGAGGTGGTCTCCGTATTTGAAAGCAAACCACTTCGAATTCAGACGACAAGATCCTGGGACTTCATGGGATTCACCGAATCAGCAATAAAGCGAAACGCGACAGCTGAAAGTGATGTTATTGTGGGAATTATAGACAGTGGAATTTGGCCTGAATCTGAGAGTTTCAGTGATGAAGGTCTCAGCGATGTTCCTAAGAAATGGAGAGGGACTTGTGGTGGGAAGAACTTCACCTGCAACAAGAAGATCATCGGAGCTCGGTTCTATGATTATGCCCAAGGAAGACGTGATACTGCCAGAGACGAATTAGGCCATGGAACTCATACTGCCTCAATAGCAGCTGGAAACAAAGTTCATGGCGTCAACTTTTATGGAATGGCAAGTGGTAAGTCTACAAAAATATCATAAATTTCAAAATTTCACTGCGCAATATCTAATTACTTATCAACTATTCAAATATCAGACTCGTCGTTCACAACCTGAATAAAAATATATGCATTAAGGTGAAAAAATATTAAAAAAAATAATTCTAATAGCTTTTGATATCCTTTAGTTAACAATAATAGTACATAAATATTCATTAACTTTATAAAGAAATAAACCTTCCGTGATCCATTAAAATAGCCTTAAGTTTTAAAGATATTTAATTTTACGAATTGAAAAAGATTGACCTCTTTATTGAAGTTAATAAATATTCATATATCATTGTTAATTTAAGGATATCAGAAGTTTCTCGAAGGAAAAATTTTTAAGTATTTTTTCACCTTAACCCAAAATATATTGAGTTATACTGATGAACTAATTAGTTTAGCTCGTGTGAACCAACAGGTACAGCTAGAGGAGGGGTTCCATCAGCGAGAATTGCTACGTATGCAGTTTGTGATAAATTAGGGTTTTGTTTTGGGCATGATATATTGGCTGCATTTGATGACGCCATTTCTGATGGTGTTGACATCATTTCTCTGTCACTAGCACACCCAGAGCCACGTGAATTCTTCTATGATTCAATAGGCGTCGGATCTTTTCATGCAATGGCGAAAGGAATCCTCACCGTCCATTCTGCTGGCAATTTTGGTCCTCCCTCTGCCTCAGTTACAAGTGTCTCACCATGGATCCTAACTGTGGCAGCAAGTGGCACAGATCGTAGAATCATCGACAAACTTGTTCTTGGGAATGGACGCACACTGGTTGGCAACTCCATTAATCCTTTTAACTCAAATGGGTCCAAGTTTCCTATAGCTAAGATAAATGGTGATTCAGCTAAATGTTCCAAAGAAGATGGAAGACGTTGCTCTTGTTTTGACACAGACATGGTGAAAGGAAAGATTGTGTTGTGCAATGAAATATTACCTACAAAAACTACTGCTAAGTCGCAAGGCGTACTTGGCGTCATCACAGTTACTGATTCTCAAGAGGAATATTCACAGACAGTTTCACTACCTTCATTGGATATTTCCAAAGCTGCTTCTTTTATTGTTGGTTCATACATGAATTCAACCGAAGATCCAAAGGCTGAGATAAAGAGGAGTGAGATGATTCTAGATAAGAATGCTCCTAGAATAACTGATTTCTCTGCACGTGGGCCTAATCCCATTATAGCAGATATCTTAAAGCCAGATATAACTGCTCCTGGAGTTGAAATTTTGGCTGCATTTTCGCCTGTTGCATCTGTTTCAGGTTATGATCAAGACAAAAGATCTGTCAAGTACAACATTTTGACAGGAACGTCCATGTCTTGCCCTCATGTTACTGGAATATCTGCATACTTGAAGGCCCTTCATCCAGATTGGTCGCCTGCAGCTATCAAATCTGCCATTCTAACCACAGGAAAACCTATGAAGAAAGCTTATTCTGATGATGCTGTTGGTGAGTTTGAATATGGATCTGGGCATGTGAATCCAGTACAAGCTAGTGATCCTGGGTTGGTTTATGACATATCCAAGGATGATTATGTGGAAATGTTGTGCAATTTTGGCTATAATACCTCTCTGCTTCAGCAGGTTACCGGAGACAATAGTAGTAGTTGTCCCAGATGTTCTCACAGAGATTTAGTCAAAAATCTAAATTATCCTTTACTTGGAGTTAACGTTAAGCCTTCAACCTCATTCAAGATTCAGTTTAATCGAACTGTGACAAATGTTGGATTTGTGAACTCAACGTATAAGGCAAGGATTTTACAAAATTCTAAGGTAAATATTTCAGTGGAACCTGAGGTTCTGTCTTTCAAATCATTGAATGAGAAGAAGTCTTTTGTTGTGAACATTATTGGGAAGGGCATTGCAAATCAAACAGCAATTTCATCATCATTGATATGGTCAGATGGCAGCCACAATGTGAGAAGCCCAATTGTTGTGATGGCGTTTTGATGAATATAGTTTTGTAGAGTCTCTTCTAGTTGAGTTATTCAAGTTTTTTAGGACTTGAACCTTTGTATAACTGTAATTTGAAAAATAAAAGTGTAGTTGCTAATATGCTTGCCGTTCTGTTTATGTATACTTTAGATTTAATAAATTCTAAAAAATAAATTTTAAAAAACCAGTTTATAAAAGAAAACAATGAGGGGAATTAATTCTCTTGTGACATCACTTAAAATAATTATACAACAGATCGGACAAATTATTTGGCGTAAAAACAAGATTTTGTTCAAGACTGACAGTAAAAGGACTAAAAATAATAATTGAAGGCATATTAAGAGGGGAAGTTGAATTAAAGGATAGGACTTAGACTTGGAAATTGAGAAGAATGACAAATTTCAAATATAATAAATCAATTAATACTACACAAATTCTTGTAAGCAATTGCAACTTCTATTTAGAACTACAAAATTATTCTAGAAGATGATTTATGTAAAGGACTGGAAGGAGTAAAATTCAAATATGAAGAATCTTGAAGTTGTTGTCCAACAGAGGTTTAAGAGATTGACATAGTAGAGACTATATGGAACCCAAAACAAGTGGGTCAAAGGCTATATAGACTCCAAGAACGACAAGAAATTTTATCTACTATATGAGTATTGCATGACAAAATTGAGTTCTATCAAAAACTAGGAAACTATTAAATTAGATTAGTTATAAGAGGGAAATGTGCATCTAACCCACTTTGTTTGGTCTGCTGTGAACAAGTGGAAACAATAGAACATATGCTTCTTCTTTGTCATCGTGTCAAAAGTTGGTTTGGTTTGGAAGTCCTTTGTGTTTAATAATTCAAGAAGGTGATATTACTAGGATTGATAACTGGCTGCTCCCTCTTTTGACTTGCAAGGAGATGTCTGATGCTTCGAAAGCTTTGATTGCCTTTACTCTTTGGCAACTATGGAAGGCTAGGTGCTGTTTTGTGTTTAATAAAAAACTTATTGATCCTGGTGGAGTTATTCAACTTGCTAACAGCTATATGAATATTTTCTGGGCAGCAAATAACTGGTGCAATACTGATTTAAAGGCCTCTAGTGTGGATAATAGAGCTCAAGAAGCAGCTAATGCCATTTCCACCAATCATGTGGATACTTTTATTGCCTCTGATTTCTTATTCTTTGCTTTTTGTGATGGTGTCTTTATTTTTCATAATAAAGCTAGCCTTAGCTTTATTGTACGGGAGGCCTCTAGATGCTGTGTTCATAAAGTTACAAGATCTCTCCATATTGTTGTCTCGGCTTTCTGCAGTGAAGCTGAAGTTTTTTTTCAGTGTGTTCTTGCTGGTTTGTTTAAGGTACTGTTCTTATTTGATTGTCTCTCTTTGATTAAAACTGTGAAAGGTATTGCTCCATGTCCTGAATGGAAATGCTTGACCACTATGGATAATATTCTGAATCATGAGCAATCATTAAGCTCTTGTAGCTTCAAGTGGATCTCACAAAATTTAAACTGTGCTGTTGATTGGATCTCACATGCAGTTGGTACTGAGGTGTGCTCTTTGAATTGGGTTGCTCAACCCCCACCTCTTTTGGCTCGTCTCCTGGATAGTGACTTTCTAGAGCCTAGGATGTTCTCTTTTGACAGCACCTGAGTCTTTTATTTTGTTTGTTTGAATTTGTTTGTTTTGTGGTTGGATTCTCTTGTTTGTTTGATGATATCAGTATCTTGTTCTTGGCCAAAAAAAAAAAAGTTAATATGAGGAGTTTAGTTCCTTCGGAATGCCATTTTTTCAATAATGAAATTCACATCGCCAATTCTACAAATAAGCGATATTATTTATAGTTAAATTTATATAAAGTTAATTTAGTTTTAATATTAATTACTATATAATTAATTAATTAATTAATTACATAATTTGAAAATATTTCATCATTTGTAGTTGCTAACTTTCTCAGTGGCCATGTTGGCAAAAAAGAAAAAAAAAATTATCTCAGCGACTGCCAGTCGATATTAATTATAGGAAAATCAGTCCACCTTCCCTTGGAAATTAATGCATCATATATTGATTTATAATTTTTTCTTGAATTACAAGGAGAAAAGCCTTCGTGCATGAGTGGTGTTGGTCATTTTATGGATTCATTTTCTGAATTTAATGGCTACATTATTTTAAAACGAACAATTGCTAATAAATTCTTCTAATTTTGTCAAAGCATGTTACAAAGAGTAATAAAATTTACCATTTATTTATTACTCCGTCGTTCCCATATATATAATGAACATGCAATGTTCTTGACAGAACGAACATACAATGTTGCCATGCATTTACAACTCATAGAAAAATTTTCACTTGCAAAAATAAAATATGTTTATGTTTTTTTTTATATTTTTCAAGTTTTCATTAATATGAGAATTAAGCGGTTAATTAATATCTATTTATGGAAAAATTTAGGCAAATATTACTAATTATTATATAATTGTATAAATATATATTAAAAACCATAGTTTAAGAAAAACTTATAAATTTAGATATAAAAAAGATACGCCACACATTTTCTGATGGAATAGAGTACAAACGTAACAAATATCTTGAGAGACTCTTATGCATAAGCATAAACATAAAGGTTGCAAGTGCATAGGATAGAGAACTTCATATTAAGGAGAATCAAATTCAGGACCTGATGAGAAAAAATGTCAATGAGGGCCCAAAACAATAAATAGTTCAGTGACGTACAAGATGAGATTCAACAATTCAGTTGTTCATGCTGAGCTTTATATTGTTCTCAGCCCTCACTGTCATTTTTTCTCAATTGGCGGGCACTGAATGTGATTCTTCCTTTGTATTATAATACTCCAACAATTCAATATTATGAAGCATTTTTTAAATATCATATTAAAAAATAGGAAGCATTTTGGGTTTTTTTAAAACACAGTTAATAAGATTTTCCAAAAGATATTCTTAATTTGGGGTGTTGTTAATAATGGGCTAAAATATATAACTTCCCTCAACTTTGAATTAAATGCCGGTGCTACCCTATCATTTAAAATTTGATCTAAAACCTCCTTAACGTTTTACTTTTAGTTAGCTTTTGTCATATTAATGTCATTTATGAAGACAAATAAAGGATATAAATTAACTTTTCAATTTCTCCCGGAACCAACCACAAACCTATATATACATCCTTGTTTGTTTGAACCAAGACTGGTACGAAATATGGCATAAAGGAATGCTGAATTTATAAAATTTATAATATTTGTAAACCCAAAATGCTTTAAATCCAAAGTACAACATTTTATGGGGTCCATCTTTGGTAAGGTGCTCATCGGTTGCTAGCACCATTTCCAGATTCAAGAAAAAATTTAGACAATTTCAATAGCCAAAATTTTTTAATTATATATATATATATATATTTTATTTATTAAAATTAAATTTTATAAAAACTTTAATACATATGTCAATCATTAATCTAGACACTACAAATTTAATGTGGTGGTCTAATTGTACTCTCTAGATAGTCTATATTTAGTAACCTTAATTTTTTATAAATTTTTATTTTGATAAACATAATGTTAAAAATAAATAATCCATATAGTCAATTTATAAAAATTATTATAATTTTTAATATTAAATTTAACTATTCAAATTAAATATGTACTATCCATATTGATGTGAATATATTTATATAATTTTTCATAATTTTTATATAAAATTAAAAAGGACAATAAAAATTTTACATCTAAACTATCCAGATAAAAATATGGATATGGTCCAAATTCTATTACTCTGATGAGCACCCAAAACCATCCAATGGTATATGCTTTGAGGAATTAATAGTTGCAGTATGATCGTTGCTCTTGTATAAATATTTTTTGTTGCGAACAAAAAAAAAATCATACAGGACAATGAAAACATCGAAAAAAAAATCTTTTACAAGATATTTAATAGCCATACACTGATGTGGCAACTTAAGTCTGACGTCGCAATGAGGATTAGTGATTTAACGGTCCTGTTAATAGTAGGATGTTTTAAGCACAAAAATAAAACGCTAAGGAAGTTTTTAATCAATTTTCAAAGGTTTGGGGTGTTACATAAAAAAGACTATAGTTGAGGGTAGCTATATGTATTTTAGCCTTAATAAGGTTTTTAAATGAAGATACCCTATCAAATAAAGGGTAAACATAAAAAAAGTGTATAACTTTAGAGATAATTAATTAATTCATTGAAAATATAATTCAGTTAAAAATGTACTATATTATTGAATGAATAGAGTAATAAAAAATCAATAATGTTATGAACGTTAGATTGGAAATTAGTAAATTGTTAATTTGATTACTAAGAAACATTCCAAATATCAAAATTTAATTAAAAGAATTAATTAATGGATCTAATTGATAAACAATAAAAATTGAGAGAATGACAGTTAGGCTCTAAAACACAAAATTAATAATAGTTAAGTCTTCGATAATTTTTTAAAAATAAGTTAAAAATATTGATCCATATTAGTACAAATCCAAGATACTTATCAAATGTAACTCTTAAATTATAACAAAAAATTTTATTTGAAATGGTTTGAATGATATTTATAATTTATTTTGTAAAAATTTTTTGTCAAAAAACTTATTGTCATTAATTAATTTCGTTGGGACCTAATTTTTATTCTCTCATAAAAATTAGTAAAACCAATCAAAACACTCAATGATTGCAAAAACCAATCAATAGCCAACGAATGATAGCCAAAACAAGTGGTAAGAACCAATATCTTAAAACCTGAACGGTCAGAGCACCACCCAAATATAAAAAGGTCATTTTTTGATTTATTGATCTATTTTGAAACGAATGGTTTTAATATAGTCAAAATTATCCAAGAACTTAGACCTGTTCGATTGTTTTGAATTGTGTTTTTTTCCTCTTATTTTAATAATAAACTTTTTATTCAATTTAAAAATAGTAATGTAACTTCCTTTTAGGTTGTTAAAGTAAACTTTTGAGTCCATTATTTGTTTATTGACATTTTTTGGCCAAATGATTATTGACATTATATGAATTAAGCTTCAAAGAAAATTGAAAACTCATTTATTTAAAAAGCACAAATAAGATAAATAAAAAATATACATATGAAAGAAATGATAAAATTAAAACTTAATATATTATGGATGAACAATTGTAAAATGAGAATAATATGTTGGTATTTTTAATATTATATATGTTAGGAATAGGGAGCGACCACTTGAAAATGGAAGGAGAAAAAAAACTAGCAAAAGTAGCAAAAAGATATCATATCTTAACTTAAAATCTCAATAGTCAAGCTTATGAGTCCTTTTTTTTATTATATATTAATTATAAAGTTTAATTTTATCCAATGTAAGACTTCTGCATCATTTTAAGTTCACACACACTCGAACAACGTTAACAATATATATATATATATATATATTTAAAATTATTATATTATTAATTTGACTGTTAGTCTAATTAGTTAAATCATGAGAAATATGACTTGTTAACATTTTCGGTTTTAAATTCATTGGTAAGAAATCCGATCTCTTTGAACAAATTCAAAAATTTCAACTTTGTCGTATAAATAAAAATCTTAGTGCGGAAAAAATTACTGTAAGTAGACTTGACAATATTCAAATAGCTAGGATCCAGTAAATTAGATATCATAATAATTATATGGAAAAACCAATCAGCAATAAAAATAATTTTTATAAAATATTTTAATTTTATAAAAATAATATTAATTCAATTACGATTGATCCTGTCATGGTCCAAGTAATAAATTTTAAACAACGGTCACCAGAAAATATAAATCTCAAACAAAGTTGGTCAGACTATTTAATGATTAATGGATTTTAAAATATTAAAAACAATTTTACTCCAAGATTGATAAATTTGTACTACACTATTATATCTTTATGTGACATGTTTGGACTAAATTAGTAGAAATTATTTGTAATTATGAGTCATCAAATCCCAAAATTGTCACCATTATTGAGACATTAATTTCAGAGAATGAACCAGCTGTAAAACGACCAACACTGCTCGTGCACCTGTATACATGCCTGTTGCAATGACTCATAATGAGTTATAATCCTTCAAATATGATGTTATTTATAAATTATTTTTAATATATTTTATTAGAATTAATTAGTGAAACGTTTAAAATTTATTAAATATATATTTAAAAATTTAATAAATTCTCAACTTTATCTTATTGAATATATATATTTTAATGTAATTTTTTGCCAATATATTATGTAAGAAAAGAAAATTTGTGATAAAACTTTAACATTGTCACTTATAATTAGGATAAAAGACAAAAAAAATTCTACGTCTTATAAATAGAGGAGGAAAAATGGATTTCCTTGGAAATCAAACACAAAAAAGAAATGTGAAATATATTGCACATCACATATGCAATATATTTTATTACTTTTTTTTTCATATTATCCTTATTTAATGGTGGTTTATGCTTTTTAGACTTGACTCTTTGGCTTCTCAAATAATGATTTTAATAAGAGAAAGTTAGAAACTTTATTAATTTTCAAATAGAGTTATGGGTTTTAAATCTCTAATTGATTGATTCTGGTATATTAATTTTATTTCATAATTTATTGTTAAGAGATTTCAAACGATAGTTAAAAAGAAATGGAGGTAGTTAGTTTTACAATCTCCATTATAAAATAATTATTGCCATTTAAGTTTATCAACGCAAACTATAAAATACTAAATCATGGCAAAATCTAATTTTATTGGACTAAAATATCCTTTTAAGAGAATGATTTGATATTAAATTTTTAAGAGAAATAACAAAATTATCCCTCACTTAAATTAGTATTAGAACTTCTCTATTTCACTTGTTTATTGCCTACCTTCACTTGTTAATTTACTTATAGAATATTATTAATTGCCCCACTTAATTTATTTTCATTTTAGATATTTAAATTATCTTAAAATAATTTGTTAATTCCTATAATGTATATTTTTCATTTATTTATAAACTATTATTAATTACCTTATTTCACTTGCTCATTACCAAATTTTCACTTGATTTCATTTTAAGAAAATGAACAAGTTAAATAGGGCAGTTAGCAACATTTCATAAGTAAATAAACAAATAAAATAACTAAGGTAATTAATAAGTAAAGTAGGGTGGTTCTAATATTAATTTAAATGAAAATTTTTTTTATTTTCTTTAAAAATTTAATATCAAATCAGTATCCTTAGATTGCAGTAAAATTTTAAATATTTAAGAGTTTTAATTTAAATAAATATGATCAATGGGTCTTTATTAAAATTCTCCCTAATTAAAAATTGGCCCATAAAAAGGGGAAACTTATGGATAAATCTCAAATGAAAAATTAATTATTCAGAAATCCTAGCTACAAGAAGGCTAATTAGTGTAAAATTATACAAATGCCTTTATATATATACATAAAGGAAAACCAAACATATATAGCAATACCAAGACCAAGAACCAACAAGTGATGGTCTTCGTACAAGGGCTATGATTGCTTAATCATAAAATCTCAAATTTGAGTATGCGTAGACAAGAAGTAGAGTATTTGTAATGGTGGCTTAGTCCCTTTTGTATTACTTTATTGATATATATATATAGGGTATGTACAGAACCCTAGAAATAAAGTGATCAAAAAAAGTTTCAGACCTATTTACACACTGTAACCTAAATACAATTAGTCTGGACCAGCTGTAATGGGCAGCACGGTATTGGGCTTATTAATATTAGAGTGAGCCCAATAAATATTAGGCTTAGAGTGTTGTTTAGTTTCTATTTTAACATGCCCCCGCAAATGAGGAATCGGAGTTTTCAGGAGCCCAAGTTTGGAGAGAAAAGCCCAATGTCTGGAATGAGAGAGTGCTTTAGTGAATAGGTCTGCGATTTGTTCAGAAGAGGGTACATAGCGCACAGAAAGCTGTCTTTCAAGTACTTTTTCTCGAACAAAATGCACATCCAGTTCTATGTGCTTTGACCGAGCGTGATAAACTGGGTTAGAGGCGAGTGCTGCTGCGCTAAGGTTATCACACCACGCAATCGATGGTTCTCGAAGGTGAAGCCTGAGTTCTTGAGTGAACGATTGAATCCACGATAGTTCAGAAGCTAGATCTACCAGTGCTTTGTACTCAAACTCAGCGCTCGATCGAGAGACTACACGCTGTTTCTTTGCTGACCAGGAAATAAGGGTGTCGCCGAAGAAGACACAGAATCCGCCTACTGATCTACGATCATCAGGGCATACGACCCAATCAGCATCGGAAAAGCCCTGCAAGGTAAGGTGATTACTTGGTTTGATGCGTAAATTAAGATCTGTAGTTCCTTTAAGATATCTCAAGATCCGTTTTAAGCCTTGCCAATGAGTATCTCTCGGTGCACTTAGGAACTGACTCAGCTTGTTCACAGAAAACATAATATCCGGCCGAGTGTGAACCAAGTACTGTAAAGAACCAATAATCTGTCTGTAGAGTGTCGGATCTTTAAGCAAAGTACCCTCTTGTTTGAAGAAATACCGATTTAAGACCATAAGGGTTGGAACAGAGGAAGCATTCAACATTCCACACTTCTTTAAAATATTTAGGATATATTGTTCTTGTTTTAGATATAATCCTGTTTCATCCCTGTAAGCTTCGATGCCCAGAAAATGATGAAGTTGTCCCAGATCTTTTAAGGCAAACTGAGTATTCAATTGCTTTATGAAAAGATTTAGCATTGTAGAGACATTTCCAGTAACAATAATGTCATCTACATAAATTAAGACAAACATGATTACTTTGTCATACCTCAGGAAGAACAAAGATGAATCACTTTTTGAGTGAATGAAGCCCCAGTTAATTAGAGTCTTCTTAAGCTTATCAAACCAGGCCCTTGGTGCCTATTTTAAACCATAAAGTGCCTTTCTGAGTAGACATACATGATGTGGAAATTTAGTACTAATGAAACCTTTAGGTTGTCTCATTAGTACTTGTTCTTGCAAATCTCCATTCAAAAAGGCATTATTGATGTCCAGTTGTTTGATCTGGCAGTTGAAAGTTACTGCAACAGTAAGAATGAATCTAAGCGTAGAGGCCTTTAGAACTGGACTGAAAGTCTCATCAAAGTCAACGCCAGGACTTTGTTGAAACCCTTTAGCCACTAATCTAGCCTTGTTCTTCTAAAAGGATCCATCTGCATTAAACTTGGTTTTAAAAACCCATTTACAGTCCACTAAATTCCCTTGACTAGTGTAAGGTACCAACTCCTATGTCTTGTTGAGAAGCAAAGCATTGTACTCATCTTGCATTGCTTTTCTCCAGCTTTCAAACTGAAATGCCTCTGTAACTGATCTGGGTTCACAGTGATCAGAATAAGTAGCAGTAGTGATAGCACCAACATAGGGTGCTTTAGGCTTATGAATGCCTGCTTTACTACGAGTCACCATAGAATGTCTATTAACTGGGGTAATTTGCAGATCTTGTGAGCTGGTTGAATTATTGTCTGGATCAATTTGTGATTGTGGTAGGATAGTTGAGAATGCTGATCTTTATTCAGGACTGATATCTTGACTTGTTTCAGATGGAGCAGGTGTGAGAACACCTTGTATTGACTTGGAGGAGGATGTAGTGGATAGTCGTGAATCAAGAGGAGTTGCAGCAGTAGCTGAACTTGCATCCATGTCATTAGAAGAAGACAAAGGAGTAGTGTCATTGGCGCACTTCCTTTGAACAGAAGCTAGACTTTGTTTGAAAAAGGCTCTTGGATGAACGATTTGCTCTTCAGGTATGTTCTTCTTATCAATAAAACCTGTTGTAAAGGGGAATTCAGCTTCATTAAACACCACATTTCTAGAAATAAAAACTCTTCCAGTAGGACTAAGGCACTTGTAGCCTTTGTGAGCATTGTTATACCCAATAAACACACATTTGGTGGATCGAAACTGCAACTTGTGTTGATTATAAGGTCGTAAATAGGGATAACAAGCTGAACCAAACACCTTGAGTCTGTCATAGTCTGGGTGTGAGCCAAAAAGACAAAAATGAGGAGAGATTCCCCCTAAGACAGTAGATGGTAGAATATTGATTAGGTCTTTGGAAGTGCTGAAAGCTTCCCACCAATAAAACAGAGGCATTTTTGCTTGAGCAAGTAGTGTTAAACCCATTTCAACAACATGTCTATGTTTTCTTTCAGCTCGTCCATTTTGGGAAGATGTATGTAGGCATGAGTGTCGAAAATGAATACCTGAATCCTGCAACTCCTTAGTAAAACTTCTGTATTCTCCTCCCTAATCACTTTGAATCATTTTGATTTTGCTGTCAAACTGGTTTTCAACCAATTTTTTAAAGTGAATAAATGTACTCAAAGCCTCATCCTTTGATTTTAAGGGATAAACCCAAGAGTAGCGACTGTAGTCATCAACAAACAGGATATAAAAGTGAAAACCATTCATAGAAACAATAGGAGATGGTCCCCATAGATCTATATGAATTAATTCTAGTGGTTTGGTGGCATGTGAAACAGAGATTTTAAAAGGTAAGGCATGAGATTTTCCATATTTGCATGATTCACAAAACATATCTTCATTGTTTGAAACTTTAAGATTACAATCACTGATGATTCTGTTCAGAACCCTAGTATTAGGGTGTCCAAGCCTACAATGCCATAAAACTTTACTAGAAAGTAAATGATTGAGTGCTGAATAATCAGCTTCTTCAACCGTAGTAAATACAAGTTTCACATCTGCATTATTCTTTCCCTTGCCTTCTTCCAAAATTTGAAACATGCCACCATCACTAGGTTTCCCTTGTAACATTGTCACTCCTGTTTCCTGATCCTTCACAGAAACACCATATTTATTAAATATAACATCAGCATCATTATCATCAGCAATTTTATAGACACTCAATAAATTCTTTTTGATTTTTGGTGAATAAAGAATACTGCTCAGTTTGATAGGTGTCTCAGACTTTGATTGAATACTAGCTGAACCAATCTTTACAACACCTACCCTTTCACCATTGCCCACAATAATATTCATCTTACCATTCGGGTCTATAAGATTGTCAAGATGGTTGATGTCATTGGTGACGTGGCTGGTTGCTCCACTGTCTAAATACCAAGCATCATCATTTACGGTTTCAGGAGAGGCCCAAAAGGCTGAATTGAAGTTACTGTTCGACCTAGATTTTGACCCTAAAGAATTTGAACCTTGCTGTTTCCTTTGACTTGGTTTAGTAAAAGTCCTATCATAACGATAGAAACAAGTATCCACTTGATGCCCAAATTTTTCACAAAGCTGACACTGTGGTCGATCAGTATTCTTAGAGTTCCTGTTGTTGAAACCTCTTCCATATCTGCCACGGCCTCTAGAACCACGAGAGACACGCCCGCCTCACCAATTTTGCGGAGGAAAGGCTTCTGAACTAGCATAGTTGACCAGATTAGTAGAAACAGATAGTTGAGAGAATTGTTGTAACTATTCTTGTCTACTTTCATAAGTAAGTAATTCAGCTTGAAACTCTATCCAGTTAATTTCTTCAGCTTCACGACTTAATTGAACCACTATAGGGTTATAATCAGCATCAAGACCAGCTAAAATCTGAATAATGAGATCTGGAAGAGATACAGGAGTACTAGCTATAGACAATTGCTCAGATAGATTTTTCATTTTGGCTAAATATTTAGCCATCTTCATTGTTCCTTTTCTTGTGCATTGCAGTTCAGCTTTCAACATAAGCACTCTGGCTTTGGTTTGTGCTCCAGCTTGTTATCGTGCAGCTTCCCACAGTCCAGCAGAGGTTGATACGCTGGTCATTTGTGAAGAAATCTCCAAGGTCATGGTATTTAACAGCCAACCAAACAGAAGTTGGTCAGCAGCTACCCAGTCCTCAAAATCTGGGTTGATTGTTGCAGCATCTTTATCCATAATAAATTGCTGCGGACACTTGGTTGTTCCATTGAGGAACCCTTCAAGTTTATGCCCTTTGATAATGGGCAGCACGTGCATCTGCCAGGTGAGGAAGTTTGTGCCATCCAGCTTGATAGCACAAGGCTGATTCATGCCATTAGAACCTCCTAATCCCTTGGGTAAATTGTTCGCTGAAGCAAGAGACAGAGACCCAGTGCCTGTAGATGCAGATGAGGTGTGTGGAGTGTGTGGTGAAGCTTCAGCCATGGTTGTCAACCTTCATGCTCTGATACCAAGACAAGAAGTAGAGTATTTGTAATGGTGGCTTAGTCCCTTTTGTATTACTTTATTGATATATATATAGGGTATGTACAGAACCCTAGAAATAAAGTGATCAAAAAAAGTTTCAAACCTATTTACACACTGTAACCTAAATACAATTAGTCTGGACCAGCTGTAATGGGCAGCACGGTATTGGGCTTATTAATATTAGAGTGAGCCCAATAAATATTGGGCTTAGAGTGTTGTTTAGTTTCTGTTTTAACATGCGTGAATATAGAAAATATCTTTGAGAAAACTATCTTTAATAGGATCTACAATATTCAAATTTGATCAAATTAGATAGTCATATCAAAAAATAAAAGAAGTCAATGATAAATTGTCCCAATGACAGTGCTACTCCTTCACTTGCAAGAGGTCTTAGGTTTAAACAGGAGTGTTGACATGTTTATGGGGAAGAGCTAGGCTAAAGGTAAATTAAAGAAAATAAAAAATAAAGGAGCCTTTCATTAATACATGCATACAGACAACAATCAAGCAAATCATGCTCAAGATTTCTTTATATATATGTATGTATGTATTTGAACAAAGTCATCATTTAATTTAAAGATTTACGAAGTTTAACATATATTGAACTGTGAGACATATTTAAGTGTTCGTAACTAGAACTGTTCGACCTCTGTTTCTTGACTTGACTTAAATTTAAGATTTCTATTTTATTTCGAAGCACGAAATAAAATTTCACTAAAGACCTGAACCAGTGTAACCACACACACACACACACACACACACACACACACACACACACACACACAACCCCACCCCCCCCCCCCCCACCCACTATATATGGGACCAGTGGCTGTTGCTCAAAGCACACATGCGCATTCACCATGGCCAAGCAAATGAGGTGCAAATCTTCTATTTCTGTGTCCTTAATTCCTCTCTTTGCAATATTCACTCTCATTGCCTTACTTTCATGTGACGCTGCTAATGAAGATGATGATGATACGAAAACTTACATCATCTACTTGGGATCGCTTCCTAAGGAACCATCTTCTTACTCTCTTACCTCACACCACCTCACAATCCTTCAACAAGTTATTAATGGAATCGTCAATCCAAGTGCCTTGATTCGAAGCTACACCAAGAGCTTCAATGGGTTTGCTGCAAAACTCACCGGTGATCAGAGGGACAAGATGGCTGAGATGGACGAGGTGGTCTCTGTGTTTGAAAGCAAAACACTTCGAGTTCAGACGACAAGATCCTGGGACTTTATGGGATTCGTTAACACAGCGACGATAAAACGAAACTGTTCATCATCTGAGAGTGATGTTGTGGTCGGAGTTATTGACACCGGAGTGTGGCCGGAGTCCGAGAGTTTCAGTGACGAAGGTCTTAGTGATGTTCCTGGGAAATGGAGAGGGACATGTGCTGGTGGGAAGAACTTCACCTGCAACAAGAAGATCATCGGAGCTCGGTTCTATTCTGAAGATCGTGATTCTGCGAGAGACGAAGAAGGCCATGGAACTCACACTGCGTCTATAGCAGCTGGAAACATAGTTCATGGTGTCAGCTTTTATGGAATAGCAAATGGTATGTGTATAGGATATTATAAATAATTATTCATGATTTTTTAGTCTCAAATTTTCATATCATAATATTTATTTATCTTTTATCTGAAATCAGGATAATTAATCTTTATTTTTTAACCTTAAGGACATACCTCTACCCTTTCTCATTGAACTTGCTTTGAGGGTTGAGGGTATTGAAATATACACACAGTTACATAGGCATACTCCATGCACGTCGTATTGGATTAGGCTAATTAGTATTCCCTCCTATCTAAAATACCTGACATTTTTTAACTAGTGATAATAAAAATAAAAGACACTTTGTAAAAAATTAGTAGTATTAAATTCTTTTCTATGAATATTAATTGTATTGTAGAGAAAGATTATATAAAAAAAAGAGATAAAATATAATTAAGATATATTGTTTTTAATTAGAGGGTAATTTTAAAAAATATGCAATAATGTTTTTTCCATTTTCAATAATGCAAACCCGTGAAATCACTTTTAACTACTTTGTGAATATGTCCTATGCTTTGAACTGGAGGGAGTATAAATAAGTTAAGGGAAATTGTTCGAATATTTTATAAATATATTTCATTTTAAAGATGTTACCCCTTTAAAGACTGAGTCATACTAATTCTCGGCCTCTGTCTTGTGTGTGTGTGTGTGTGTGTTATGGGAAAATCGGTGGTGAGAAGAACCACTATTTTAAAGAAGTACCAAAGTCCTTTAACTAAACTTAATTCATTTGAAGGATCTTGATCCTTTTTATTTTCCAAATATATTTACCTCATGGTGCTTCTTGTCAATTCATAGATGCATATAAATTAGTAGATCCATCTTCTTCAGGAGACCCTGTTAATTAACCTATATGAGCATGATTATTTCTGAGAAAGTGATGATTCAGCTAATGCTACCGCTTGGCCAAAAAAAAAAAAAAAAGCTAATGCTACCTTACACACACAGTAATATTGTGTGTGTGTGTGTGTGTGTGTGTGTTTATGATTTTGTAAAACTCCAACAGGTACAGCAAGAGGAGGAGCTCCGTGTGCGAGAATTGCTACATATGCAGCTTGTAATAACAGAGGATATTGCCGTGACGAAGATATCTTGTCTGCTTTTGATGACGCCATTTCCGATGGTGTTCACATCCTTTCACTGTCACTGGGAAATGGAGCTCCGGCGGACTTCCTCCATGATTCGGTAGCCATCGGATCTTTTCACGCTATGGAGAAAGGGATCCTCACCGTCCAAGCTGCCGGAAACTACGGTCCTTTCATTGCCACCGTTTCAAGTGTAGCGCCATGGATCCTAACTGTAGCAGCAAGTAGTACAGATCGTAAAATCATCGACAAACTTGTTCTTGGGAATGGCCACACACTGGTTGGGAATTCTGTAAATGCTTTTGACTCGAATGGGTCCAAGTTTCCTATAGCCAAGGTTAATGGAGATTCAAAAGATTGTCCAAAGATCTTTGAAAGATTTTGTCCTTGTTTTGACACAAACCTGGTGAAAGGGAAGATTGTGCTGTGTCGTGAACTGTCTGCACTCAACTCTGCCAAGTCTCAAGGCATAGTTGGTGTCATCACATCTTCATATTCTTGGATTGAAGATTTGTCAGAAATAGTGTCAATACCTTCATTGGACATTTCCAACGATTCTTTCAGCATGGTTGAGTCCTACATAAATTCAACCCGAGATCCAAAAGCCGAGATAAAGAAGAGTGAGATTTGTGTTGATAAAGAGGCTCCAAGAACAATTGATTTCTCTTCACGTGGGCCAAATTCCTTCATAGCAGAGATCTTAAAGCCAGATATAAGTGCTCCTGGAGTTGATATTTTGGCTGCATATTCACCTGTTGCATCTGTTTCAGAATTTTCAGATGACAAGAGATCTGTGAAATACAACATTTTATCGGGAACCTCCATGGCTTGCCCTCATGTTTCTGGAATATCTGCATATTTGAAGAGCCTTCATCCAGATTGGTCGCCTGCAGCTATCAAATCTGCCATTTTAACCACAGCAAAACCTATGAAGAAAGCTTATTCTAAAGATGCTGTTGGTGAGTTTGAATATGGATCCGGGCATGTGGATCCAGTACGAGCTTGTGATCCTGGGTTGGTTTATGACATATCCAAGGAAAACTACGTGGAAATGTTGTGCAATTTTGGCTATAACACCTCTATGATTGGGCAGATTTCTGGAGATAATAGCAGCACTTGTCCCAGATCTTCTCATAGAGACTTGGTCAAAAATATGAATTATCCTCTACTTGGAGTTAATCTTAAGCCTTTCACACCATTCAAGGTTGAATTCATGAGGATAGTGACAAATGTTGGATTTGCCAATTCAACCTACAAAGCAAGTATTTCACCAGCAAGTTACAGGTTAAATATTACAGTAAACCCTAAAGTTCTTTCCTTCAAATCATTGAATGAGAAGAAGTCTTTTGTTGTTAGTATCACTGGGAAAGGCTTCATAAATGAAACCGCACGCTCCTTCTCATTGACATGGTCAGACGGCACCCACAAGGTGAGAAGTCCAATTGTTGTGATGGCCTACGAAGAGCTTTCTTCACTTTGAACTGTTCAAGTCTGTAGGACTTGAATCTTTGTTTCAATAAAAAGCTAGCAAAGATGCAAACCTGTTAGACGTCCTGTTTGCGTGTGTGTGTGTGTGTGTCTGTCTGTCTGTCTGTCTGTCTGTCTAATATTACAAGAAGTTTTAGCTTCCTAACATCCATCATATGTACTGAACTTGAATATGATTATCAAATAAATGTAAGGTCTCCTCCCTTGGGGAACTTTTCCAATTGTCTTACGCATAGTCAAATGGATATAGAGATGGAACAAACAAGAAATTTCTCTCTTTGTAACATTAAAGAGGTCTGACAAATTAGTTAGTGTAGTCTAGCAAATTGATGAACGCATGCAGATCATACACTATTTTTGCAATGATCTAATAGGCTCTATTTTGAGTTTTTAATGCTGTTTGGTTTCATCATCTCCAAGTACCTCATTCAAGAACGAAGGAAGATAAGTTATTTGAGTATTACGACACAAAAAATACTAGTTGTCCTGTGTTTTTTTTTTTTTTTAAGGAGAAAAAAAAGAAAAGGGAACTCGGTGAAAATCTGAATTATCCTTTACTAGAGTTCAAGTTAAGCCTTCTATGCCATTTAAAGTTCAGCTTAATGGGGCAGTGACAAATTCTGAAATAAATATCACTGTAGAGCCTCAAGTTCTAAGTAACATTCCACTTATTTAATGAGAATAAATCTTTTGTCATTAATCAAATTGGAGGGGGCATCACTAGTGAATTTGCCTCACCATTATTGTCTCATTGATATGGCCAGATGGCACCCACAATGTAGAAGTCCAATTCTCGTCAAGGGTTTACATAACCTTATCTAGTTTAACTATTCAAGTTGTTGTTTCCATCAAAGCACACAGAACAACATATGCATGCTTTGATGTCATTGCCAAATGCATACTTTTTATAGATGATATAATTTTTATTACAAAGATAAAAGAAGAAATTAACTATAAACTTAATTTATAAAGTTGAAAGGTTTCTGTCTAAATGAAAGTAAAACAAAATATTTACATTATAATTTTAATAAGAAATAAGTTAGTAGTAATTTAAAAGTAAAATTAAAAGATTAGATTATATTTCAAGTGACTAAGTTTAAATATTTAAAAACTATTATTTAACATGATGAGAAAATTGATGAAAATATTATATATAAGATACAAGTTCGATGATTTAATTGAAAAAAGGCTAAAGGTGTTATTTATAACCAAATAGTACCTAACAAATTGATAGTAAAATTTGAGCTTTGAAGGGTAACAAGAACATAAAGTTGGAGTAACATATGAGAAAGTTGATATGAATGTGAAGGCATACACATAAAAATAAAATCTGAAATGAACATGTATAAAAAAAAATGAACATATCTCTTATTAAGAGAAAAATGATAGAAAATCATTTGAAATGATTTGAATATATAGGTTAAAGGTACAGATTTAGTCACAAACTATTTTTTAAGGAACATCTGATAGCTTAAACTATCAGATGATGCAAAATAAATCACGAACTTTTAAAAACAGAGCATCCAATAGCCCGCCATTAATTTAAACTAACGGACGTTATGTGGGGCCCACAATGATATGTAGCATGACACAGGCGTAACATGTCAACATAATAAAGGTATAAATTTAGCTACGAATTATTTTTCGAGGAGCATTGGGCAACCTCTATTATAAAAAAAATGGATCATCCAACACCTTCTCCTCAATTTTGACTAAACATCATTTATTTTCATACTTATAAGACCCAGAAAGCATTAATCTCTCCAATCTTTTTGCCTTCGTTCTCAACATAAGCTCCAGAAGAAGAGGTTCAATAAGTTTTTATCTGAAGACATTCGCAAGGATGATGCTAATGAAGTAGAAGCTTGATTTTACTACGCATGAAAAAAGCTTGATTCTAACTTAATTTAGTCATGAACTATTTTTTCTAATCTGTTAGATCGTTTTCATGAATATCTTTAAATAAAAACTCTTTAAACCTTTTCTTCTCAAGTTGAGATTGAGAACAAAGACAAAAAGATGTAGAGATTAATGCTTTCTGAACCTCATAAGTATAAAAATAAATAATGTTTGATCAAAATTGAAGGAAAGGTATTGGGTGATCTGTTTTTTTATAATATAGGCCACCAAGTACTCCTCAAAAAATAATTTGTGTCTAAATTAACACCTTTACCATGCTGACATGTCACGCTTGTGTTATGCAATATGTCATTATGAGCCCCACATAACGTTCATTAGCTTAAGTTAACGGTAAACTACTGGATGCTCTATTTTTAAAAATTTGTAATTTATTTTGCACTATCTAATAGTTTAGGCTACCAGATATCCCTTGAAAAATAATTTGTGACCAAATTTGCTACTTTACTCGAATATATATAAAGAAGATTGTAGGAAACACCAATAAAAAAGTGAAAGGAATAATTTTGAACCATATTAAAAAAATGATAGAAAAAAACCAAAGAAAATACTTAAAAAAGTTATTGATCGAGAGCTCCTAATTAACAACATTCTTAAAAGTGTAATAAATGATATAGTACAATGACATAATATAATCCATATAATAAGCCTCTGAGGCTTATTGCTATTGTTATAGTATTTGTTATTGCCAAAAATATTAACATCCTAAATTCTAGGTGTATTGAACCCCACCATCTATAAATGTAGGCCCCCCCTATCTGGACCAGAAAAATAAATCTATTAACAAAAAATCTTCTAGTTCATTGCCTTCAAAAGTATTTCATCGAATACGGCTGTGACACGAAAGGAAGAAATTCTCTCGTTATAACACCCACCAAAACCTGCTTGAGTGTCACCCCCGCCCAAAAAAAAAAAAGCAAGAAAGCATGATGAATGAATTTTACAAATACTACCTACCAGATTGACAGAATTGAAAGAAAAGGGGCTAAAATGACAACTGAGAGCAAACGAAAGGGGCTAAAAGTAAACTTCGTCAAATATAAAAGAAACATCTATACACATACACGCACAACACATATCTCAGCAGCAGGATCAGTCTAACAGTGAGATCATACATATCATTTCTTCCACTTCTTATTGATTATTAAGCAAAAAGAGGCGGCAGATATTACATTTCTTGAACATTGATTGACTGAAAAGGACTCTGTCACTTCTTTCTTGATACTGCTGCTGCTATCCCACCTGCTACCAGTCCTACAGCAGTTGCAGCAATGCCAAGGCCAATGACACCATCTACAAGGGATGAGGGAAATAACAGACAAAATCAGCGCGGAAATCAAATCAATAACAATAACCCCTCACTTCTAACCCAGAAATTTTTATGTACTTCTTGCATGGCAAAAGTTGATGCAAGGAGCTAAAAGAATATCAGAATAATAAGTTTGTAACCAAATCCCTGCATGTGGAAAATTGGTGAATTCTCATTGGCTCCTTGCACAGCCAGGGTTGTGCAATATATCTACGCAAGAATTTCTCCTTATGGATCTAGAACCACTAAACCATAAGAGTAAGAGAATGAGGTAGTGTGCAACTAATATTGCCAAGGAAGGAGATTGCCTCCCACAAAACTCAAGGACACCCTATATCATGATACCATCACCAAAATAATAAGAAACGCAGGAAATATCTAAGGAAATCTGGAGTTGTGGGGAAACCTTTTGTGATCTTGTCTTCAATTATCTTCTTAAGCGTCACTGCCTGCCTCCAGTCAGGAGCAATCTACAAAACAAAAATATGTTGTTGATGCAACGGTTAAAATTCAGTAAAAGGAATGGTGAAAAGCACTAGACAAAATCTTCAAGTTGAAGGAGATATTTACTAGAGTTTGCTGCCAAGTTTGTAACATAATACCTCAAAACCACTCAAAATTACACATAAATTCTGCCAGATTTTCCTTCATAACTATCAAGATTAATATATCAGACTTCAGTATTTGAGAAGAGAACAAATTCATAAATCCATATATTTCTTCTGGTCATGGATGCCATATAAAAGTAACGAACTAGTATCAACCAAACAAGTGTTCAAAACAAATCTTCTTAGGTGGATAATTTAACTTCAAATTCAGCAGACATATCAAACAAGGAAAGCACCAATTACAGAAACAGTTGCTCAAGAATTCCTAGGTAAATGAACATTTTGCATTAATAGAATTCAGATTCTCTCGCAATCAATGAAGTTCTGTATCTTAAACAAGATAATTCAAGATAGAGATGGCAATCATACAAGGATGAATCTAGAATTAGATACGTCGGGGCAAGAATTGGAAAATAAGAGAGGGGTTGGGAGGGCTAAAAAATTTTGAATATTTTTTTAACAAGTAAAAAGCCCTGGGGGGGCCCAGATTCGTCACTGGTCATACATTTATGCATAAACAATCTCTAAAGGATTAACAAAATTAGATAAAGGAGTTCACGTTGACCAATAAGACAAAAATATTAGAGGGGCTGAAAGAACTTCAATTTCCTAGATTAACCAACAACTCTGGAGACAGAACGCCATACCAATAGACATCTATCCACAAGATCCCTACTCCTTGAATAATCACCACTTCTGTAATACCCAACAGCCAGAAGATATAGCCTCTCCCTCTGTAGCAGTGGGTCAGTTGTACCAGGTAAAGATGCTGTCACATACATGTTATCATATGGTTAACAAAAGTTGCAAGAATAAAAACAAGATATACATCTATGACAGCAGAGTAGCTCAATTTGAATATTCATCCATTTGAAACGAAATGATACAGACCTCCTTGTTAAAAACCTAAAGGATAAAGACTGTGAGTGAATGTATGTGCATGCATGTCAGCAAGTGAATCAATTCTCTGGGTGAATGCCCAGCATACATATACGGCTACCTTCAAGCATTGCTATCCCACGTTGTGCATCTTCTGGTCGTCTTGAGTGAACAAGGGCCCATGATAAACGCAAGAGACATTCCTTCATAGAGTCATCTGAGCCAGCCTCAGCAACCTCTCTTTCACACGCCTGCAGGTGCATTTAGAAAGCAGATGAGGTAACCGATAAGAAAAAAAATCCAGCAGAAAAATATGCTGTGCCTATCAACAAAGACATGCTGTAAAAAGTGTTGTCAAAAAGGAAATTTGAGAAAAACATGCTTGAGATGAAATTCAATGTAAGAAAAGAAAAGTATGATGATAACATTAAATGATAAATCCAGCAGGCACACACGCTGACACAGCATACAACAACAACAACAACAACAAGCCTTTATCCCACTAGGTGGGGTCGGCTACATGGATTGCAAGACGCCATTGTGCTCTATCATTTATTAAGCTTTTAGAAATATTATTAATTAAGAGATCACGTTCAACAACTTCCAAGAGTGTTCTCTTAGGCCTTCCTCTACCTCTCTTAATCGGATTCAAAGTTATATGTTCCACTCTTCTCACTGGTGCCTCCCTTGGTCTTCTTTGTACATGCCCAAACCATCTCAACCGATTTTCTACCATTTTTTTCTCAATAGGTGCCACCCTCACTTTTTCGCGTATGTGCTCATTTCGAATTTTATCTTTACGTGTATGTCCGCACATCCATCGTAACATTCTCATCTCTGGTACTCCAACTTTATGCTCTTGCTGTCCCGTTAGAGCCCAGCATTCACTACTATTCACATGCTGACACAGCATATTCAACTAAATTTGACTGTCACAAGTAACTCATCTAGTATTGTGCTTTCTTTATTATGATCTTGAAATCAAGAGAATTGTACTAGATGTAGATATGGCCAACACAAATAGCAATAAGCACTACGAGAAAGAATAAAAATATGATGTATAAAGGGGCAGTAAAGACTCAAACCAGATTTCTCACATTAAGCAAGAGGGAAAGGACCAATTTGGCATCGCACCCACAAATATGGCTTATGTTCAGAATATGTCGTCCTAATGATGAGAAAATAATTTACTTGGTCTCCTGCCTTTCCTTAAGAAAAATATCAAGTCCTCAATTTTTTATTCTCTCCCCACAAAAAGGACCTAGCTTACTCGGCTGAGAATGGCAATCATGTTCATATAAAGCATAATTCACTCTTTTGCGGAAGACATAAAAGAGGCATTTATAATTTTAAAATCTGCCATTAAAAAATGGGCACACACGTGCCTACGCACACATGCTAAGATGCACCCATGACTGCAACTGTTGATACTCTTCTTGAAATGCTAGATATCTAACCTATGTAAGTTTAAGCTAAATTTATGCACTCAATTATAATAGCGTTCAACAAAGTCAGGCAGATAGAAACAACCAATTAGTTAATTGAAGTAGCAAAAACAAACATAATTCTCCTGCATACTCCCACAATGATATTTTTGGTTGACGTGGCAACATCAGCTAGCTACAGGATTTTTTTTTTTTTTTTGGACAAGCAGCTAGCTGCAGTTTTACCACAGCAAGATACAGCAGAAAGTAGAAAGAAACAAAATGTATCCTCTGCAAATATGAAAATTCAACCACAAAGACGGGCTAGAAAATAAAAACATCCAAAGATGCGAGTTTGATAAATTAGGAATTAGCAACAGAGAACGTTATCTTAAGATGAAATTATTTTGAGCACCATATTTGAAGTTCGTTATTCATTCTAGGTTACGTCATAAGAATAAAGGATCACATCTACGATTTATCTCACCTTATTAGGTGGTATATGCAAAACAAAAATTTCCCATATTACTTGATCCTCGTAAAGACTCAGCTTCACATTCAAATTATATTTTGAGTTAAAAATAGCCAAAAATTAATCAATTCTTCATTCGTCAAACCAACACATTTCAATATAACAAGGACAACTCTTTTTGAATTTAACACCAGCACCCACAAAAAGAAAAAGAAAGAAAGAAAATTACAAATTACATCAGGTTTAAAAGAAAAATTATAAGAAAGAAAAAGAAATTAAGAAAATACCCAACCCTGCAGCTCCAGGGAACGATCGATAGCTTGAGAAGTTCAATAACAAGGCTTCAAAATCAGAACAAGCAAAGCAGAAACAGAGAATCTAGATACTAACAAAGACGAAATACCATAGGAAACCTAACGCATGTTCGAATTCCCATTCAAATTAAACAAAAACTAATTCAATCAATTGGTGGATGGAGGCATTGAAGAGAAGCATGAGCTTACAGCGACTATGTCAGGATCACACCAAGGCAGCTGATCTCTACCGGAAAAGAAGTTACCGATGGAGTCGATCATCATCCCTAGCTTGGCTTCCAGCTTAGCCATAAAATCAAGAAGGAGCTGAACTCGCGAAGAAGAAGGATGAAACTGACAGCCGAGAAGAGACGAGACTTGGTATCCAAGTTAAATATCCAAGCTAAGTTTAAAATTTCTTCGTCCTCAAGTCCTTAAATTTTTAATATTAAATTTAAGAAATAGGGAACATGACAGCTGCAGACCTATCAGAGGATTATTGATAATCACAAGCTACTAATTTTTAAAATCTCATAAAAAGACCCAGATCTTCTGTTTCAATTAAAAATAAGAGAAAATTACGCCTAAGTGCCTAACAAGAAACGGCACAATCAAATTTCACGACATCCTGTACCAACAAAATATCACGACATCCTGTACCAACGAACACTTGGTTTGACCGGCAGAGAAATTGAAAAATCAACATTTTTAATAAAATAAATGGAATTAAATAGTGGCCAATGAGAAGTTGTCTAAACGGGGAAGCTTCTATGAGAAAGAATAAATTATGCGTGCCACAACACAAGGAAAATCTACACGAGGATGGGAAGAAAAACTTTCAAAATAAAAATGAAAAACTAACCAATGGTAATGCTTCTACAATGAGAGCGGAATGAATTTAAGTGCCTATCATATAAATGATGAGTAAGAACTTATATCATTCAAATTTAATTTTTTATGATTTAAATTTATAATTTTTAATAGGTATTTTTTTAAATAAAAATTATTTTTTTGAAAAATTAATACTCCTTCCATTTAAAAATATAAGATATTTTTTGAGGAGTTGTATATTTAAAAATGTATGGCATTTTTAGTCTTTTGAGGTGTAATTATTATCTTTTTTAAAAAAATTTATCTATTGATGTTAACTTTATTTTTATTATAGGGTGTTTAATAAAGGTAAATATAAAAAGATATGGTTAATTTAAAAGTAAATAACTACTTTATTAAAAGTAAGATTTGATAAAAAAATATTTTATATTTTTAAACCAAGAGAGTAGTTAAAAAATTGTCTTATTTTAGATTTTATATCTATTAAAATATTTTAAAAAAATAAAAATAAAAAACTATAAATCTAAATCATCTAAATTTAATCTAAAAGGTATAGAGATGATGAGCTTTCTGTATGATGAGCTCTGAAGCTGGTTCAACAAAACAGAAACATTATTTAAAGATGATCTTATATTAAAATAAACTAACCAATGAAAAAACAGAATTTATATTAGGGTAAAGCAATCTGACCAATAAGAAAGATGACACCATTCAATTGCTTTTTACGACTTTTGCATAATAAGATTGATGTGCTACTAACTTTTCAAAGATTCACAAGTGATTATACACAGATTGACAAGTGATTACCTACAATGAAATCACAATTGACAATTAAAAATTTTATAAGTGACTATCTATTAATTAAAAGCTGATTTTCCAAGTATTCACAAATGATTATTCTTTTCAAAAATTAATATACATTTACAACTGATTATTCAAAAATTTAGCAGTGACTATCTTGATTAAAAGTGATTATCTATGAATCCATAGCTGACTTCTTCAATATTTACAAGTGACTAATCAAATGGGCATTCTAGTCCAATAAAATAATTTTTAATTGCAACAAAGGACCTAGGTTCTTCCATGAAATTTCAAAAATTAGAGTTTTGTAAATGTCATTAATTCTTTAACAGGGTCTGCAACTGTCCTTTTCCCTATTAAAATATCTTGTGAACAGTATAGCTTCTGTTTATTTTCCGGAAAAATACCGTTTATTCCGTTTTTATTGTGAAGATGATGATTCTCAGAATTATAATTACAAGACACAAAGGCAAAGGGTGAGAGGAAGGTACAAGGAAACTGCAAGGTGCCTTCCAATCTGTTTGCTTCTGTACAACAACGGTTTCCTTCGAAATTCCCCTTCTTGACATTTTAAGGAAACCTCATTGGCCTAATTATTATCATATGGACAAAATTTCTGTTTTTTTTTAACATTATCTTCATTTTAAACAGAATTATTTTTTATTTAAAGTATCCCATAAATACATTGAAATGACTACTTCTATATACTCTGTTAAGACAATCCATCTGTGCTAATAACAAGTTGTCCTATCAGTAAGACAGTAACACCATCTTTTTACAGACGTGAGATCCAAAATTCAAACCCTACATTAATACCTAGATGTGTGAGTTGTGTTGTTGATCACTTTAAAAAAAGACACTGTCCATTTCTTATGTAACTAAAAAAGTATTTTTAAGCATTGGCTAAAAATATAGCTTATATAGAGGTATTACTCGATATGTAGTTTTATGACAATATTTTTACCAGCAGTTTTATAATCATATTTGTTAAATAGGGGTACATATTGCTCGTAAATATTAAATAATACACACACAAATATATAAAAGCCTCTATTGTAAAACATGTTGATAAAACTAAAAGCAAGATATGGTATGTAAGTACAACGTAGTGAGTTCAAATATCTTTTGATATAGTGAAAATAATAATATTAATTATAAAATATAATGTTTGCATATCTTTGTAATACACAAAATAGTTAAAGCCACAAATCATACCTAAAAGTTAAGAAAATAGCTCAGAACATAAAGTCATAAATAAGCTAATAGAATGGAAGCTAAATCGAGATGCTTCATGGGCATGCTAGTCCAAACATCCGTTTGCCTTCTTGAAGGAATGATCAATGCAAACAATCCAATCTTATGATGAAATTTTTTATCTTTTGGATAAGTCTTAATGATAACTCCGCCTATGTTTATAGCCGGTCCCAAGCCCGGGTAAAGGAGGAGGGTTGTGTTAGGCCATCAACAGCCAATGTAAAAATTTGTTGAATCTATCATGAACATGGACAATAGACGTTATAATGTTAATGCTAGGTCGTTGCCCGTAAGTAACGCGCTGCATGGCTCGAGTACAGTGATAAGTGAGTTAGAGCCGCTGCATCGGCGCCCGGATGTAGTGTTAAATGAGCAAGGGCTACCGCGTCATTCTGGACGCACGCGGCTAAAGAAGTTAGTCCATAAGAGCAAAATTAGATTTGGTACTTGGAATGTTGGGACATTAAATTGTAAATCTGTAGAGGTTGTAGGGGTTATGATTCAAAGGAAAATCAATATCCTTTGCTTGCAAGAAACAAAATGGCGTGGAGAAAGAGCTAAGGATATTCAAGGTTTCAAACTTTGGTATACAGGAAAAGTAAGTGCACGCAATGGAGTAGGCATCATTATAGATAAGGAGTGGAAGAAGAACGTTGTAGAAGTTAGCAGAATTGGAGACAGAATTATTTCTTTAAAAATGATAATTGGACGTGAGACTGTTAATATTGTTAGCGCTTATGCGCCGCAAGTCGGGACAGAAGCCAGTCTTAAGGAATTATTTTGGGAGGATCTGGAGGGGTTGATTCGACACATACCACAGAGTGAAAAGATTTTTATTGGAGGAGACTTTAATGCGCATGTCGGGAGGGAAGCTGGTCAGTATGCGAGGGTGCATGGTGGTTTTGGTTTTGGAGAGCTAAACAATGAAGGGCAAACTCTTCTTGATTTCTCATTGGCGTATGATTTTAAATTGCCAACACTTGTTTCAAGAAGAGAGATGAGCATCTCATCACTTACAAAAGTGGAGCCTCAAGGTCGCAGATTGATTTTCTTTTGGTTAGGAACACAGATAGAAAACTTTGTAAAAATTGTAAGGTGATCCCTGGAGATGCTGTAACGACACAACACAGGGTCCTAGTCCTTGATGTGTGTATTATGAGTAAAATCCAAAAACGTCGACAAGTAGTAACACCAAGGATTAGGTGGTGGCAATTAAAAGGTGAGAAGCAAGATATTTTCAAGCAAAATCTTTTGGATAAAGGAATTTGGGATTCTCAGGGAAGTGCTAACATCATATGGGAGGATATGGCTAAAAAGATACGGGAGGTTGCAAAAGTAGTTTTGGGAGAATCGAAAGGTTCTGGTCCGAGAGATAAGGAGTCTTGGTGGTGGAATAATAGTGTACAGGACAAAATCAAGTATAAGAAGAACTGTTTTAAAGCCATACATTTGTGTAACAATGAGGAAAATTGGGAGAGGTACCGTATGGCTAAGAAGGAAACTAAGAGAGCTGTGGGTGAAGCTCGTTCCAAAGCTTTTGAAGAATTTTATAAGAACCTTGAGACGAAGGAAGGAGAGCAAAATATTTATAAGATTGCCAAGAGTAGGGAAAGAAAATCAAGAGATCTAGAACAGGTAAGGTGTATTAAGGATGAAGAGGGAAGAATTTTAGTTACAGATGATGAAATTAAAAATAGATGGGAGACTTATTTTTCTAAACTTTTCAATGATGGAGAGGATTCATCTAGTAACTTGGAGGATTTAGTAACTGGTGAAGGAGAACAAAATTTGTCATTCTATCGAAAAATACGTGATAAGGAGGTAAAGGAAGCTCTTAAGAAAATGGCAAATGGTAGAGCTAACGGACCTGATTGTATATCTATCGAAGCGTGGAAATGTTTAGGTGAAGAAGGGGTGAGATGGTTAACTAAGTTATTTAATGTGATTTTACGGTCCAAGAAAATGCCTGATGAGTGGAGGAGAAGTACATTAATTCCTATTTATAAAAATAAAGGAGATATTCAGAATTGTACTAACTATAGAGGGATTAAACTCATGAGCCACACAATGAAATTGTGGGAGAAAGTAATTGAGCACAGGTTGAGATTGGAGACAAGTATTTCTGAGAATCAATTTGGTTTTATGCCAGGTAGATCAACTACAGAGGCGATTTATCTACTAAGGGGATTAATGGAAAAGTATCGTTGTAAAGATAAAGATCTACACATGGTTTTTATTGATTTGGAAAAAGCTTATGACCGTATACCAAGAGAAGTGCTTTGGAAAGCGTTGGAAAAAAAGGGAGTACGGATTGCTTATATTAAAGCCATACAAGATATGTATGAGGGGGTAAAAACTAGTATAAGAACGCCTAGTGGTCAAACAAAGGATTTTCCTATAAAGATTGGACTACATCAGGGATCATCTCTGAGTCCTTATTTGTTCAACTTGATTTTAAATGTTTTGACGGAACATATTCAAGAGGAAATCCCGAAATGTATGCTCTTTGCGGATGATATAGTTCTTATAGCAGAGACAAGAGAAGAGGTTAATTGCAAACTTGAGTTATGGAGGAGGACATTGGAGTCGAAAGGTTTTCGTCTGAGTAGAAGTAAGACGGAATATTTATATTGTAAATTTGGTAAAGGACTATTCGAAAATAATTTCGAAGTGAAATTGGGAGATCAAATTATACCTCAAGTGGAAAAGTTTAGATATTTGGGAGCCATTATTCAAAATGATGGCGAAATCAGTGGAGATATTTCACATAGAATTCAAGCTGGGTGGTTTAATTGGAGAAAAGCTAAAGGAGTTATTTGTGACCGTAGGGTGCCTAATAAACTTAAAGGAAAGTTTTATCGTACTGCTATCAGACCGGCAATGTTATATAGTAGTGAATGCTGGGCTCTAACGGGACAGCAAGAGCATAAAGTTGGAGTAGCAGAGATGAGAATGTTACGATGGATGTGCGGACATACACGTAAAGATAAAATTCGAAATGAGCACATACGTGAAAAAGTGAGGGTGGCACCTATTGAGGAAAAAATGGTAGAAAATCGGTTGAGATGGTTTGGGCATGTACAAAGAAGACCAAGGGAGGCACCAGTGAGAAGAGTGGAACATATAACTTTGAGTCCGATTAAGAGAGGTAGAGGAAGGCCTAAGAGAACACTCTTGGAAGTTGTTGAACGTGATCTCTTAATTAATAATATTTCTAAAAGCTTAATAAATGATAGAGCACAATGGCGTCTTGCAATCCATGTAGCCGACCCCACCTAGTGGGATAAAGGCTTGTTGTTGTTGTTGTTGTTGTATAAGTCTTAATGATGAAATTTTTTATCCTTGGGATAAGTCTTAATGTTGGTATTGTGATAGGGAATGGTCTGTATAATAAGGATCTGTGGGAGTATATAAAATCGACTATGAGAATCATTTTCAACAATAAAAATTGATGCATGAGAAAGAATATTTCTTTTTCACAAGGGGGAAACAAATATAATGAACAGAATTACTGCTTGATTCCCTGTACACCTCAATACTTTACAAACAAAAGCCGAGGTAATCTCTAGCCCTAATCACTTTTTTTCACTTCTTCATAACAATCCCTCTCATAATCAAGCTAGTCTTTAAACAAATCCAATAAATCTTTTCCTATTTCTAAATTTCACAAGGAAGGCAAACCTTTTCATCAGAACCCAGCAACTATGGACACACTGTACAAATGTGCAACCGACTGCAACATATCAGTTCTTGAATCGTCTTCGAAACTGGAAAATCCATGACACTAAATTCCTGAGATGCTCATACATTATTATGAACAGAATGTGTTCAGGAATTTCCCCATCATATTATGATTTCAGAACTACTTGAATTGCCACGTGGCATCATTACCATCCGACAGACCTTTCCTTTGGATTCTCCAGAGTTCACGCTTTGCCTTCTTCCACTGTGACAGAATGGAAAAAAAGAAAAAAAGAAAAGAAACCATCTAATGTGATTCTTGTCTTCTTAAGCTCATAACCTCAGAAGGGGCCGCATTTTCATCAGCTAGCTTAAAGAATTCTCCATTGCCAGCACAAAGTAGGGTAGAAAATGAAGGCGATAAAACTGCAGAATTGCTACCTGCAATGCACATTTTCAACACATGTAGAGTGAAAGACGATATATCAATCAAGGTCCAATAAAAGAGTAGAATCTTGATATTAGCGATAGAGTTGAATGGTAGGAGTAGATTTCCACACACCTCCAAAAGAAGGACTTCTCTCATAGTCCTTGGACACCTGCAACAAAATGGTGCCAGCGAGCACAACAATAAATCCACATACTTCTGATGCGATAGTCCCAAAACTTTGGCCTTCCCAATCCTGTAGATACAAGGTGAGTTGATATTGAGCTAATAATTCAAATTTATAGACAAGATATTCTTCTACATCCTTAACACTTGACAGCATAACAAATTGGAAATACCTTAAACATTATTACGCTGGCTAAGATTGTGAGTGTTGTGAACATTACATAATATATGGGAGACACAATTGCAGTGTTGAAGGTGTCAAGAGCCTGAAATATCGAACACGCCTTGTCAAATGAGAATGTATTACGTCAAATGCAAGACTTCAAAGATAGTGAACTATACCAGTACAAATAAATCAAATTTAACAAATAAATGCAAAACATCATTTGCAGCAAGAAAAAACAAAAACCACAGAATTAGCATCTGGGATGGTCATTATTGCAGCGAAGAATATTTATCAAATATCAACGGAAAGTTATTTATTGTCTATATATGTATATGCTAGAACTTATAATAAAATTATTCATGGACTCAGATTTGAACAGACTAAGCTTTCAAGTTGAAGAGGTTTATGACATGGTGTCATCACAAACCCTATGAGCAAATGATCAAGAGTTTTAAACTCTTAACGGGTCTTTTTGAACAACTGTCAAGAGTTTTATTTTCATGTATTTTCTAGCTACGTGTGTTAATAGGAAAGACCCGTGGTGCTCGAAAGCACAGAGGAATAGTCTTTATAATTCTTTTCAGCCATATGCGCTTCAATTCTACTCATAGATTCTTCAGCTCACTGATGTCATGAGTATTCAGCTCCAATTGTGTGAGATCGCCCTTTTCATCATTGTCTCACAAAGCTCCATCGTCTGCTCAAGACCTCCAAGGCATTCATGCAATCATGTTTCCATCACTGCCCTCTGGATCGAATTTCAGGCAACCCCGTTTGTCCAGAAAACCAACTCTAACACCATTTGATACGTGACAAGCTGTATTTATGTACTTAGAAGTATACCAAATCCATATCACACCCATCACAACAATACATCTACCCTATCTAGAGTAACTAACTAACAGATTACTAACCTCCTAATCTCCCTTGTAACAGACCACGCAGGCTTTAAAGCTTTTTAATCCCTTCTTGTTAATGTTGTGTCTTTTCTTCTTTATTCGGTTTTCTTCTGCCTTAAGTTGTGACTTAAGTTCTGCAAGGACCTCCCTTCAGCACCTATTAACTGGAAAACTCTTCCAATGGTTCTCACACACCAGTTTGGCATCTTTGAATCTCAGAATCCTCATTTTGTTAGTTTCCTAATTAACCTCTGCACTATGCCTAGATACAAAAAAGGAAAGGAAAACCAGTTACTTTTAATGATCTCTTTCTCAAACTTGAACGTTACCACAATGAAGAAACATGTGCACATTATAGTGCCCATTCTCAGAGATAAAGGTAGAAGAAGATGCTAAAGGAGTAGAATGTAGTTAAATAACTGTCACAGATATTAAAAGCATTTCTGGACCTTCTCCTGGCAGCCTAAGTTATTGGGATGAAATGGACCTTGAAAATCGTAATAACTATGTCAGAAAAAATTCCATCTTAACAATTCCTCAAATATTGGGACTACCATCAAAAGGTCATTAACAGTTAAGAAAATAATTTATATACTACATATAAGGTGAAAGAGCAGTTTTATTGGTTCAGAGAATTTCAAAAGACAGGCTGAGGCAACGGGACCTTTTTCAAGGCACATAGAGTAACCAACCTTATTGAGGTAATTCATTTGAGTGATGACGCATATAGCCACAACCAACATAAAGAACCATGTTTCAGGGTAGACTAATTGATTCACCCCTTCAAATGTCAACTTCAATGAAGTTCCAAGGGCTTTAACACTCATCACCTGAAAATTCATAACAATTTCATATAGAGCAGTAACAGAAACTAGGGGTGGCAAAGACAGATTATAGTATGCAATTCATTATTCTAAATTGAATGCAGATTGAGGGGTGAAAAAACTTTAACAGATATTCATCAATCATTGGACCAGATAAAGATTCTCAATGTATACATCCCTCCCTTCTCCCTCAAAAATGGGGAGATGAGAGGGTATAGAAGTGTGACAAATTTGAGCCAATGAAGTACTTAAAAATATTTTTTTAATATAATCTCTTTGGACCACAATATATGACATCTTTTAAAATCTTTACTTTATCCAAAATATAGGGCATTAGGTAATTTTTATAATTGTTTTTCCAACTATACCCCTAATTCATTTATTACTTTTTCTTTTTTTTTAAAATGATGTATTGGAATTTCAATTGTCATTATTAAGGCACTTATACAGAATATTTAATGAGGGTACAATTGAAAAGATGTAAAAAAATTTCAGAAATTAAAGTTTCACCCAACTTTTTTTTTTCCCTTTAAAACTGTGAAATAGTTACCAATGTCCTATATCATGATCTAGAGAGAATAACATTGTACCACAACATAGGTACCAAAATTTAAAAAGAAAAAAATGAAAAGGAAAGGAAAGAAAGAAAGATAGGTATCAAAATCAAATGACTTTAAAAAGGAGATCAAGTACCACAGTTTATATATCTGTTAAACAAGATATTTTGAGGAAACAAGTGCATCAAGCTCAGATTAGCCATAAACTTGAGGAGAGAGTTGTTCAGTTGCTTACAGAGAGGGATCCCATCAACGAACAAATTCCAGTAAAAACCAGCACATTGGTATGGCCACACCGCGGTGAAAAATGGAAGACCAAAATGAAAACCAATACCGCTACCGAGCACACATATGCCAGAAATGCTGCAATGAAAGAAATGCCAATATTAACCAAGAACTGTAAAACAATCGTCTTTGAATGTAAACAGCAGAGCATTCTAACCTGGTTGGGTAGCCAAATTCCATATTTCCTGAACAGATGTGATAGTACGCTCTCCAGGCGCATGAATGACAATAATGACAGAACCAGCAATGCACATTACACAGCCCAACATTCCAAGAGGGTGCAGCCTCTCTTTCAAAATAAAGTGAGCCAAAACCGCACTACAGGATAGCATTCACATTTCACAGTCATGGGTCAATGGAGAATCAACCATGTTAGTTTACAATGTAAAAGAAAACACTTGCAAAATTAATTAAGGCCAGAAGAAGAAGAAGAAGAAGAAGAAGAAGAAGAAGAAGAAGAGTTAAGTTAGCTACCTCACAATGATACTCAGTGCACCAAGTGGAGTGACTAGAACTGCTGGGGCAAATGCATATGCAACAAAGTTTGCAACCTCTCCAACAATCACTAAATCAGAAATTGTAAAATAAAAAAGATTCTGCAAGAAGTCAGCAAAGGATCAAAAGCCCATGACCATGATAATTACATATTATAGTTAGTCATTAACAGAAGCACAACTGAAAAATATAGCAAAGTAACTTGTTTAAGCATCTCCAGGCACAACCAAAAAGAATAAGCAATGCAATGACCTAGACAAACAGTAGAGAATGATATGGGGCACTAAATCCAGGCTCTATTAAACAACGTAAAATGAAATTGCTTCAACTTTGACAAGCATCCAAATCTAGATAATCTAACTAACTTTGTACAATGATGTGGTCAAATTAAAACCAAAAAGAAGAAACAAGAAAGTTCAGCCCAAATAACTACGGTTAGAAAAGAAAATAGAAGTTCAGAAACAGCATTAGGTGCTTACTTGTGACCATTCCTAACCACCAGAGCGGCTCCAATAGATAATAATACCCTCCAACACCTACAAAATAAGAAACCACGGCTAACCAAATTAAACACTTAATCGCCCAGTTAGAAAAACAATATCAGGCAAAAAAAAAAAAAAACAAGAAGAATATTCACCAGCTCTGACACCAGTAGCTGCAGCTGCTCTTCTAAGACCTTTCTTCTTAATGATGAAGCTTGCCCCAATGAATCCACTTGAAGCCAACGCCAAAACGACACCTTTCAGATTCTCTTTTGACATCCCCATGTTGAGAGCTCGTCAATTTTTCTGGATTTGGTATTTTCTCCTCCCCCTCCTCCTCATCGATTAGCTCCAAAAATGACTTGGGTTTTCAGATCATCTTGCTTCGATTGGTGATTCCAGTCAGCCTTCTTAGTATGGAAAAGTTGGGAATAAGATTGTTGAATATGCTGATACTGTGACACACCAAATGCTTGTGTAAACAGACCTGCATGGGCTCCACTTCTATAATTCTAAATAAAATGACATTTAAGGCTCTGAAAAGAATTTATCATAAAAAGGACATATGAGTGCTGAGTGCAGGTATATTCTCAATTTCTATATATAAAATATTTTTAATTAAATTATATAAGTTAACTAAAATTAATTATCTCCTTAAAAGTATAATAATATTTCATTTTTATTTTTAATTATTATAAATAAAAAATAATTTTTTAAAATAAAATGATGAGTTTTTTAATATAATAAAAATATAATGATCTGTTTATATTATCTACTTAAAAGTATAACAATATTTCATTTTTATTTTTAATTATTATAAATAAAAAATAATTTTTTAAAATAAATTGATGAGTTTTTTGTAATATAATAAAAATGTAATGATCTGTTTATTAAAAAAAATATGTTGATTTCCTCTTATATTTAAAAAAAATATTTTAAAAAAGTTTTATATGATGAGACAGAGATATTATGGTATCATTGAAAACTGAATTTTAACTTATATTTTTATTGAAATTTTAACCATAATATATATGTATTTTTATAAAATAATATTTTATATAAAATTTTTAGATTTTTATTGTAATAAATTTTATCACCGCCTTAAATGTCATTTTTCCTTATTTATACTACCCTCGAAAATGAAGATAATTACTTAGAAGAAATAAATCCATGTGCCTGTGCTAGACGCTTGTGCGTAAAGTAACACAAAAAATAATAATAATAATAATAATAATAATAATAACCAACTGTTGATCAAACATCGGAAAGGCCGCGCAGCCCGCAAACAACGCAACGTGATCTGTTTATTTTCAATTAAAGCGGATTTATTTAAATTAAATTTATTTAAATTAAATTTAAAATATCTTTTCTTTTTTAAAAAATTCATATCATTAAGCATAAATCCAATTTTTTTTAAGTGAATTCAAGTTGGCCTATCAGACTTAGCTTAAATTACCGACTCTACATACATATAAAGTCAATAATTTTAGTGACCAGGCTCAATTTGAGTTAGGACTTATTCAAACTCAACTTAAATTATCTTATTTTTTTAAAAGGCTTATATAATCAAATTTGGTCCTTTTTTTTGAGGTAATATGTTGAGTTTAGTTCAAATTATCAGCTACTTTCTATGTGTATATGACCAAAAATGAAAGTTATGAATAGGGAAAAAGCCAAAAAGGGTTATTTTTAGAAGAATAATTTTGAACTGTTTTGTTTTTCATGGCACACCAGTACCAGTGTTCGTTCCTACAATGGACATGAGATGAGACACTGCCCGGAAAAATTGGAATAAATATTCAACTTTTTTAGTGAACTGTGCTTGCTTTTCGGTGTTTTGAACTGAATATCATGTGACTTATCAGTTAATTGTGGCATTGAGGGTTCATCGTTTAAGAGATTTGATCTTAAGCGTGATTTCAATTATAATAAATAAATATACACAGTACATTCCTAAGTCCTCAACTTACATCTGGCAAACAAAATCCTGAGCTTATCAATCAGCCGTCTTGACTTTTTTATGACTAACTACTTGAAAAAAATGAGGTTAAAGAAATAAACTCACAAGTGAAACATGTCACGGATTATTCTCTACTCTTAAATAACTGATCTTTGTATGATATTTTAATTAAAAGAAAAACGTTATTTTTGGGAAGAAACAGAAAAAATCATTTCAAGGTATTATATCTAGTGATTAGTGTACACACACACACACAATCTTGAATTTAATTTTATAAATAAAAATGGCGTTGTGAACATTATCATTAAACTTTTGAGTCATGCTTTAAATTTATTATTTTTATATTTTTAATTTATAAAATTATTTTAACTTACTTATAAATTTAAATTAAATATAAATTTAATTAAACTTACTAATTGACTATTTAAACTTATTATTTTTATATTTACAACGTATATAATCTTGTCCCCTTATTTATAAACTTAAATTATATGTAAATTTAATTAAATTTGTTAAAGTAGTCAATTTTTTATTAAATCGAGCGAGTTAAGTATATATTATATATAATTTGATTTATAGAAGCAGTAAGATCTGATTGATTAAAAAAAATAAAATTCAAAAAATAAAAACTAATATTAATAAAAAATAAAAAATAAGTTGACATATTTTAAAATTTAGTATGATAATATATTAATATAAATGGATTTAATTTCAGTAATTTATAATTGAAATATATTGAAATAAAATTATAATTATATTTTATATTTAAATTTTTTAATGATTATTTATTAATAAAGATAAACTTTTATAAATTTACAATTTAATTATATAATTTAAATATGCATGGTTAGGGTTGAGGGCTGATGAGTTTTATAAAATATAATTTGCAAATGATGAGTTCATTCATGCGCGTCACGATGGGATATAGTTGGAACCACCCAATAGAAAGCGAGAGTCAAAGCATGAGGGATCGCTCCAGATGAGACAACTGTAATGTGGGCCCACACGTGGTATGAATGCTGCCACGTGTATGATCTCAGGTGGTTGATGTGGTTTCGTCTTATATGTTCATCATCACTGTTAGTGGGCCACAGAGGGCCGATCAGGCCCAGTTGTCCTCATCACTTGACTAAACACTCTCCTTCGGTTACAGCCCAATGTCGGCAAAGAATCAAACTATAATCTATCTGTGGCCTGGTAGTCGTAATATTTAATCGTTAGGAAATTGATGTTATCTAGATAAATCAAATTTGTGAATCAGCTATTGCATAAAATCAAATTTATTGATTGGGAGAAGTTCGCTTAAAATATTTTTTTTAATGGAGAAAAATAAAAGAAATTTTAAAAATAGATGATGAATTGAATTCAAGATTAAAACAATAAAATTTAGATAATCTAAATCAAATTTAGAAAAAATCCTGCTCATCACTTTTTAAATTCAGATTTCAGATGATCTGGATTAAGGGCAAAGTCTGGATTTAACTATGAGAAGGACAAGATTAAAAAACATATATACTATAAAAATTTTATAAATCTTGGAAGATAAAAAATATATAACATCTATAAAACACTAAGAAAAATTTAAAAACTTGGAGTGTTGTGGCTCCTGCTAACCCCTCACTTTCTACCATTAACTAAACTCATACGTTTGGTTTGGACGTGGGGCAAAAGTGGGAAGAGGGAAGAGAGAAAATTAGGAAGAGAAATTTCTTAAAAAAACAAAAAAAAAAAGTTATTTTTTTAACCATATTTAAGTATTTTCCCTCATAGTTTTCTCTGTTGTCTATTTTTTTCTCCATCCAAACGAAGGGTGAAAGCATGAAGCAAAGGGGGAGTTTCTATTTTATTGCCCACCAAATTCTGATACACAAACAAGTGAAAGAAGCAATGCGTTGAATAATTAAAGTAGAGAATAAGATTGGGAAGAGGAGATTGTATATGTAATGTAATTTCACAGAGAATCCCAGAAAAGAAAGGACTTGAAGGAATGCGAGAATCTGGAGAATGGAATCAAATCAAATCAAATCCTGGAAGGGATGAAAGGAGTGTTGTTCTGTAAGTAAGCACTCGCAACACCAACACCACTTCCAAGCTTCACAGCGTATCCCACATCTCTCAATACCATCTCTACTCCAGCAAGACATCCCAATAGTTGCAACTGTCAAAACAAATTTCAATGCATAAAGTTTTGGTCAAGTTTGTTATGCAGTTGTTTAACCCTAGTCAGCAAGAATGAACTAGTCAATGACACAGTACAATTGTGTTTGGTCAGAAATAAAAAGAGGGGAGAGAGAGAGAGAGTAAGAACATGCACAAAAAATGAGACAAATCTTTTTTTATAACTAGTGTAATTATGTAAATCCCGTGCATTATATGAAGTCTGAAAAATAAGTTACATTGTTCATAACTTACAAATAATGCAACTTATTAAACGTTCTATATTATATATTATCTTTGTTATGGTTGCACAAAAATATCTGTTTTCTTAGAGCATACAAAGGTTGGGCTGGGCATTACCTTGGCCCAATATTTGGTCAACTAGATTCATCAAACCAACCAAACCTCCATACACTTACACACCTAACCTCCAAACAATTAGTATGTACATTTCTACATCTGTATATATAAACAAGGATTATGCATGCTTTGAAGGGAGAGAGGGAAATGAAGAATACCTCGTTCAAGTTGCCGAGATGGCCTATCCTGAAAACCTTGCCAGCAACTTTGTTGAGGCCAAGGCCTAGGCTCAAGTTGTATCTCTTCCATGCCCTTCTCACTATTTCAGCACTATCTATGTAAGGAGGAACAAGAACAGCAGTCACAGTATCACTATACCACTCCTCCTTCTGTGTACAGTTCTTCAAACCCCACGCCTCAACTGCAAGTCTGTATTTCTACTACATTTAGAATCTCTCATATTTCTTGCACAAATGTAAAGATACTAAGAGCCGCTTGCTTGTTAGAAAAGAATGGATTAAAAAATAAAGATAAAAATAGAATAATTAATATGTGAAGAAGAGATGGGCCAATCATATACATAAAGGGGCAAGGATAATATAATTCATGAAATTAGGAGTCATGATTCTTAATATTTGTGGTGGGTGTGGCAATTTCCATGTTTAGGATATGTGGTACTGAGTTTTTTTACCTTTACAATGATAAATTGGATAATTTAGTTCATTTTCTTTATTTTATTAATCCATTCCATTCTAGCAAGTAAATGGGCCTTAAAATACTCTGCCCTTCACAGAATTTAGCACTATATGCCTAAACCCGCTTATTCAGTCCTTTTTTCTATTATTTTTCCCCCCTCAAAATGATGCTTACTATAATTATTACTTGATACATGAGAGAGCAGTTAAAGGCGGCACAAAAATTAGAGATGTCAAGTTATTTTACTCAAACAAACAACTTTCAAAAGCCTTGCTCAAATCAAATGCAAAAACAAAGTGTTGTTTAACTGTCGAAACTCCTGAAGGAAATGAACATATCATGTGCTTACCTGGTCGCTTCTCCTAAACGATGGTGTCTGGCAATCACATTTTCGAGTCCTTCCTCGAAAATGAGATCGAGGGCTGCTCTGAGACCATACAACAACTGAATGGAAGGAGTGTAAGGCCAATAGGTTCCCAACTTGTAGAACTTCAAGTAGTCACTCCAGTCAAAGAAAACTCTGACTGATCTTGCAGTTTTTGAGGCCTCCAAGGCTTTAGGGCTTGCACATACTATGCCTATCCCAGTAGGGAGGGAAAGAGCCTTCTGAGAGCCAGTTAGGGCTACATCGATTCCCCATTCATCCATACGAAAATCAAGGGCACAAATGGAAGATACTCCATCGACAAGGAGGAGGGCTGGATGCTGATATTCATCTGATAGTTTAATGCACCATGTGAGATTTGTGTTATGGATAAACCATGAAAAGAAAGGGCTAACAGACATTTTTAAGTTTCAACGAACAAGTTCATCTGCATGGTGTACTAAATTGAAGATGTATTAAGTAATCCAAAATAGTAATAGTTTATTGAGTTTCTTAACAGATTAACTTGATGTGACTGTTTTTCATGTTGTGCCGCACCTAGATATGCTGACATGGCACTGATGAGTCAACGGAAAACCAGAATTCATTGGATGAACTTAGGTGATCTGAGCTTATATGGTTGTCATGAGATAAAAGGCAATCACATCATGTGAGTTTGTCCAAAAAATTAAGCGGGCCATTATTATTTGGATTACTTCTGCACCTTCGATGAAATGAGAAGGATGAAATTGTTCTTGAAAAAAATAAAGGGACTAAGCTGCGTCTTTACTGAATAAACAGGTAATGTAAGTGCAATTAAATCCAAGGATAAAAGGAAGAAGAAAACAGAACTAAATTTAACATAGAAAAGCCCAAGGTCGGCAAAGTAGAGGCTATGAATGGATTGGTAAGCTTGTAGGCCACAAAAAAGGTATTAAAATTACAGAAATGTAGATAAGGGTAGTGAACATCTGTCAAGCTCTATTACAGCGCCTGAAACAAATATAACTTAATTCTTTTGACGGATCATTTCAATTCAAATACTTAGGTTTTCAAGTGAAGACTCACTAAGGGTTTTATTATGATATCTTTCAATTCTCACCAACAGAACCATCCAAAGCAAAGCTATCAGTGGAAAGGAGAGAAGAGCATTAGATGGAATTCTTACCGAGAATTTTTCTCACTTTGGCCAGGTTATTAGTGACCCCAGTTGCTGTCTCATTGTGAACAATGCAAATTGCCTTTATGGTGTGTGCATTATCTGATGCAAGTTTCGATGCCAGAATGTCCAGGTTGGCTCCTTGTCCCCATTCACTTTCAACGACATCAACATTGAAGTTAAGACGTTGCTGCTGATCAATCCAAAGCAAACTAAATTGGCCAATCAGAAAAGATACAATCCGATCTCCCGGAGACAATGTGTTTGTCAGTGCACTCTCCCATGCACCAGTACCTGCATCAAAAGTACTAGCATTACTGCATAATAAACAAAAACAAAATAATTCAGGAAAAGAAAGTTCTTAGAAAGACAACCAAGCCATTCAGGAAGAGATATGTATTGTTTTCAGTAAACTGAGTATGAAACAAACATATATCAAGGTTCATAGACATGCATTTTCCAAATCAAGGTTCCAACTGATGTTGTTACTGCAGAATATAGGACACACCGGATAAAATTATTATTCTCATACACTGGCAAGATATTATTTCATAGGCATGCATTTTCCAAATCAAGTTTCCTAAAGAGTAATATAATCTTTTCAGTAAACTGAATGTGAAAGGTTAATGATGATCGTTTTAGGCAATGGACGGACTTCTTGTTATCAATATTGTTCTAGTGAAATGAATACAATGTTGATGAGGCACTAATAGAAGATTTTTGCAAATAAAAATCTACACATATAGAAAAGTACAATTTGGCCTGAACCATGTGTAGAAATTACCTGTTGTGGGAATAAGAAATGGAGTTCCAGTGGTAGTCTTAAAGATCTTCTTCACATCCTCAATCAGATTTTTCGTCAGTGCTGGGATTGCTGGAGAACGGTAGTCCTCATTGTTGCGGTTCATCGCCCGAATGACCGGTTCAGGGATGTTGACGGGCCCTGGAACAAAGAGATGGTTTCTTCCTGGTCCATACACGTAGTCCATCTTGTCCTGCTTGAATTATCAGCTTCCTCAGATTCAAGCAGTTAACTTTTCCGTCTGATGAACACCTAAAAGAAATCCATCGTAGAGTTAATAACCCACTTCAATAGTTTGGTCATAAACTATTGCTTATTCATCTATCAATGGTCAAGCTTGAAACTGAAACAACTAACTTCAAAATTGACATAATAAGATTGAAATTTAAGCCTTTTTTTTAAAAAAAACCAAAACCATTAAACTTACTGACTGTTCAGCATTATCTCCAACAGTTACACAGTGTAACTGGCGACACATAAATCAAAATAGGTTGGAACAAAAATTATCCTGGGTTATGAAACGTTTGAAATTGTAATATTACAATACAAGGATAAACAAGGAATTGAGGTACTACAGATACTCGATTAATCTCCTCTGTTACTGTTAGTCAGTAAACAATTAGAAGAGTGATTTTCAGATTTGCAGAATAGGAAATCATATTCGGACTTCAAGGCTATACTTGAAAACCTTTCAGTTTCAGGATGCTCTCCTCATCTCAATTTTGAATCAAGAACCGAGCACTAACCGGAAGAAAAATCATCAAATGGATAGCATTAACTCGATTCACCAAATTAACTTATTTTGAAAATTCCACAACTAACTCGAACAAGAAAGGAATAGAAACAGAAGAGGAAATGATAGCGATTGCGAGTATCGAGAAGGAATAGAAGAAAGTGAATTGGTAGCATTACCTGAGGCTGAGTGAGCGTGGAAGAGAGAATCTGCAGGAAACTTGTTGGAGGGAAGAGACGTGGCTTGCCAGCTTACTATCAGAAAAAAGAGAAGAAAGAGCAATTCGCATTCGCCATGGTAAGAGCGCGGGAGAACCAATCAACTGCTAAGGTGGGGCCTAGTGCCAACGTGGCAGATAAGGACAAGAATCTTCTCTCTCTCTCAGCTCAAACTATTTATTGTTTTTGTGAAAATTATCTCTCATGAGTCATCTTGAATTCATGCATTGATTATAAAAGTATTTGATCATATGAAAGATTTATGCACACATTGCATTTTGAAAAATATAAAATAGTTATGTATACGTTAAAAATAATTAATTCTTTACAATATGGTGAATCAAATTAAATTTTTATTAAAAAATATTTACATTTAATACTTGGACATAATTACTTTCAATATATGAATGAAATATAATGTTGTAAAAGACTCTTCATATAATATTCCTCCTTCATTTTACATTCCATTTGGTTTGACGCATTTAAAAAGAAAATGAACTAATCATTTAATAAAATTAGATAGAAACAAAGTTAGATGGAGAAAAACCGCATATAACACGCACATAATCATTTTCTTTATTAGTATTAATATTATGGTCAAGTATGTTACAGTATCAACACAAAATTTAAATTATTATTGAAAAAAAGTGTCTCCTCGACGAATTTTGAAAAGCAATTACGGGTCTTATTATTATTATTATTATTTTAAGGTTTAATTAGTTTATTTTTTTCTTTTTTCTGCTTTATTTGTTTTCTTATATATAAGAAAAACAAAATCTTAAGGTTTAATTACAGGCCGTTAGCTTGTGCCACCCCAAAAAAAAAAAAAACCATTAAGCCAAGTTTTTGAGAATGCATTTTATTTATTTATTGCAACAATAAGATATTTTTATTAATTTGAATCTAGGTTCTCATAGTTGATTACCAACTAAACCAAAATTTTTGAGCCAAGATTCATCAAACTTAAGAGAGGTTTTTTAAAAAAAAAAAAAATTAAGTATTGTGGTCAAGTATGTCAGAATATCAAGACAGAATTAAAATTATTTTTCAAAGCAATTAAAAAATATTTTTCTCTTTTATAATTTAAATACACTTCAAATTTTAAATCTCAAACTAAAAAATAATGTCTCCTCTATGCTTCATTATCCCGTTTGTATAAATTACATTACCATTTTCCATTCCAATATCTTGGGGGAACAGAAAGTTTGAGGTTTGAGGAAGGCTATAGGAGAGGAAAAGTGACAATAGAATTTCAACCACACTTCACTTCTGGGAGAAGACTAGGCCACACCCACCCTATAAATTCCTCTTTTGTACTTTTGTGAATTCCCTTTCCATCTTTCAATTCATAGCCCTAAATTTCACATATAAATAATTTTGAAATTAAACTCAACTAAAATGAGGAGAGGAAAAAAAGTCTATAACTTTTATCACAAAGAAGATTATTGTTTTTGATCTATGACCTGATTTAACATGTGAGAGAGGAATGTGATTCGACAATGTCCATGGATCAAGGAAGAATGATAATTAAAAACATCATAAAAAATTAATATTAAATCAAGATATCTTCAAAATTTAAGTTATTATATTCAATACCCATTCTCTTATATTTTAGTACTAAAAACCCTTAGGTATCATTTTTAATTGATGAATTTGGATTTTAGATTTAAAAGCATTTCAAATCTCACAATTAAAATTTATATATTTAAAATCATTTGTTTAATTAGTTTAAAAATTTTAAATGAAGAAAAGAGATAAACAGGTATTTGAAACAAAAATTAAAAATTAAAAATGACTAGTTTGTCGTTATTAAAAATATGATTATAAATGTATCAACAATAAAAATGCCAAAAGAATAAAATGTTTGAAATAATTAAAATTTTAAATGACTATGATGTAAAATGAATTTAAAATTATAAAAAAATTATAATTTAAAATGGATTTGAATTTAAACAAAATCCACATCCAAATCCTCATTGATCTAAACACACCATTTAACAAATTCTAATTTGATATTAACCTTCTGATGAGTTCCTTAAATAACACAACAGAGGTTCTCATGAGAAATAATCTGTTCTTAGAATATCTCATTTCTTTCTTGCTTAAAGTGGAGTGATACTTAAAATGGACGGTCCAAAATTGACATTTGGACTTTGAATGGCCCTTTCTTAAGCTACAATGTTATTTGTTTCCATTCATTGCAGGGTTCATTTCATTCTCCAATCACTCTTCAACACCTCGCTTTCTCCCTTTTTTAGTTTTTTTAGTCCTCCCGAAATTCCTATTATATTAAATATTGAAAATGCAGTACAAAACATAAGTTTTCTTGCCCATTGGATATTTCTCTTCTTAGTTACCCATGTACGGATCTAGAACTTTTTAGTGCATAATAACTGAACATGACTAGCTCGTGGCAGCCAGACAAGCTATAAGTGTTTGCAGTAACAAACAAATATGACAACTTTTCAGGTCAAAAAAACAAAAAAAACAAAACAAAATAAATATGGGAAATTTGTGTTTCCAACGTCTTAAAAAAGGGAATTGAATGAATAAATAAATTAAACACTGTGCCTTAAACACACAACTTTTTCATTTATAGGAAAATAAATTACGAAAGACTGGACGAGCAAAATAAGAAGTCCGAGCAGCCTCATTAAAAAAAGGATACATGAGATACTTATGAAACTCAATTAATGGAATGTTGAATTTATGAAGGGGTATATGACCTATAGAGAAACAAATAACTATGAATTTAATCCTGCAACCATTTATACGTTGAATATAACTCTCGCATAGGTCAAAATTTTTAATGAATAACACGTGCAATCAACATTTGATGGGCAATGTATGAGATTTTTGCGCGCACACAATTACTGAGCCATTGTGCATAAAAATTCCAAAGAAATCCAAACAAATTCAACGATGCAGGATTAGTATTCCAAAAATTCAGCTGGAAACGAATACATCATTTGTTATTGTTTAACGAAGAGCACCAAACTAGTGAAAATTGATATATTAAAAAAAAAATTCAGAGTACACGTGTAAACCTAGGAGGGGGGAAAAATCCAATAATTCATTTTTCATGGACCAGTGGAAATCACTTAGAAGAATACATTTCTGAGAGCATAAGCTAACATAATTTTATCCTGCACAAGGCCAACCAAGTTCAATTAAATTGCAAAACTGATAATATACACTTTCCTAATACATGTCGATATAAAAGGTAAAGATTAAAAAAGGGGGAAAATTTTTTTCAAGATTTTCGCTATATACGTAACCACTTCGCTTGCTGAGCTCAACTTTAAGGGAGGATGGTGAAAATCAAAAGGCTGACAATGAGGAAAAAAAAAGTGGTGCAAGACAACTTCCTTTCATCTTTGCACAATCCAGATCATCGTCGGCTTCAACTACCTCATTCAAGGCTGCAAATCCCATGTTTAGGGATTCATCAGGTGAGCCAGAGGGGGCCAAAAAAAGGATCTGCAAGATCTCATTATTCCCATGGGTTGACAAAAAATATACTCCCGAGAATATACAGTAGCTGAAGCCGTGTAAATTGCAGAGGGCACGGCCAATAGCCCACTGCCAACACTCCAGAATCAGCCATTGTCATCCACACGATCGTGACTATTTTATGCTGGAAGAGAAACCCTGTCTCGGAGGAGCCCCGCCAGGTCGTGTCCGATAAGGTTTCTCGCTGACGAGACGTCTATCTGATGGTCCAGCCCCAAGAATCCCCAGTGAGTTAGGGTCAGATGTTTGGATTCCGTTACCCATAGCTCTCTGAGATGGTGGCTGCCCTTGGAAATGACCATCACCTTCTCCTCTCCTCCTCCGCTTCCAAGCCTCAGATTTTCCTGTACTGTGAATTGGTTCTGGCATTTGATAGGAAGTCACATTTTTGTATCCTCTTTGTCTCTCCACATGGCGAGAGAATGAACTAGGGTGGTTTCTCCCAAATGGACCAGAGACCGATCCATTGATGTGAGAGGGGCCAGCCCCAGCTTCATCTTGTTGCTCCTGTTTAAGCTTGGAATAGATCTGATGCAGCCTCTCCCCTGAAAGATGGGAGAAGGTAGAGACATAGTTCCACAATCGCGTCGTCATCCCTGTAAATAATGAGGAGAATAAATTCAGACAACGCCAGACATCCAGAAAGATAAACAAAATCGACACTGCTACACTTCGCTAAAATGACTATGAAACGAAGACCAATAACATTCAGAACCGGAAAAAGAACTTACTATCTTGCTTATAAGGTTCCTCTTCATGCTCTAACACAATTTGATCTATCCTCAGCCCAAGAAGCTGTAAGTAATTGCGGATTTTGGAAAGCACCTAGAAAAAACCAGGACAAATATTCTAAATATTGAAGGTGTCATATAATTCGGGTGGGGACAAGAAGACTTTAATTTCAGTGGCCACTTTTAAATGTACCTTTTCCTTTGGAAGATTGGCACTGGTTGTCTGCAACCTGTGAAGACGTTTCAAGGTTTTCATTTCATCAATCATCACATCCTGACACCATTCCATCCATTTTACCTCCTTGAACTGCTCATACACTTCGTCATTGTCAGACATTTCACCCTCTTCTTTTACTATTGGTTCAATCCTCTGGGGCCTCAGGGATCTATCCTTTCTCATTTGGACATTAACTTTAGAAGAACTTAATTTTCTCTTCTCTGGCCCACGTGCCACCGAAATGGTCATAAGATGTTCCCTCTCCTTCTTGGAAGCCTTGCGACCTCCTTTACTATTGGCATTTTTACCACCCAGAACAACAAGCTCCTAGATGAATTTTACTCCAGGAATTAGTTCATGCTATCAATGGCCAAAAAGAAATATGAAGACACTGACAGGACATGCACTACATTTGCAGTGCAATGAACTAAAATCATCTACCAACTACAGACGAAAGTAGTATGACCAATGATTTAGGAGAATACTGTAGATCCCTAAACCAGAGGTAAGAAAATATGTTAGAAGGCACATGTAAGAAATAATGCCACCTGTGTGATGATTGTTTCAAGTTACTTCAAACACACTAGACCTAAATTGACCACAATAGTTTCTTCTTTTACAGGGTTCAAAAGAAAATCATTTTTTAAAAAAAAAAAAGGCAACTGACAAAGCTCATGTAGATAGCATACATATCAATTATCATCATACATGCACGGGAGTCATGAAGCAGAAAATGAAGTCAAAAACTAATTTCAATGCCAAAAGAACAGGAAGCATATAAAAGCATCGAAATGAGAGTGGGTGTCTCTTTTGCCAATATGCATAGAGATGAAACAAAAGAATAAATTGGATTGACACAGTTACATACTTGTTCCAAAAGGGCATTAGCACGATCTCTCAAATTGGGAGCACGTGGCAAGAAAGTTTCATGGTGATGAAGTTCAACTGGTGCAATCTTCTTCATGAGGCCAAGCCTTTCATCTAATCGTATCTTTTCCCAATTACCAAATCCATGGTAATGAATTCCAAGAAGCAATCTTGCATCATCAACTTTCAACAAGTAAACTATTATCAGCCAGAGCAGAGATCAACAACCTCTAGAAAATGCATAAATACAAACCATAATGGATAACACCTACTTTGATTCCATCCACAACCTTTAGACCAGTTTGAAGGTTTAAGGTATGTTAAAACACGAAACTGTGCAACAGGATCTTCATATCTACTAATGCGCTTTGCTAACAGTTGGAGTTCTTGAACACGATTAAGCAGATCATTTGCCTTCACTGGGACACCAAAAAAATCCAAAAGAGGCCCCTGGATGCAATATTACATGCCATGCATGAAAATAATGAGAATACATAAACCAATTCCACACATGCTTGTAAAAAAAATTAATGCTATACAAACCTTTGGGTCCATACTTCCTAGTTCCACTGCTTCTTTACAGCCATCAATTAAAGAATTGAAAATTTCAATCTGAGCTTCAGGCGGAGCAGCTGCAAATGGCCCACTAACCTCAGCAGCTATTAAGTGGATTTGGCTCTCATTCCCAAATTTCATAACCTGATTTTTTTTTTAATTGTGATTAGCAACAATGATGTATAAGATAATGAAGAAAGTAATAAAATAAAGGAATATACAATCAACACAAGTGCAAACCGTGAGGAAATCTCTCAGGGAGAGGTGAAAGGAAATATTTCTAACAAAGCAATCTCCCAAAAAAGGGGGAAAAACTAGATTCATCCCACAGGATGCCAAAACATGTCTAAAGTAAATTTTTCAAAGGCAAAGAAAGTAAACCATAATTTCTACTTTAGGCCAAGACAAAAACCCACAATTTATACTCAATTATAACTGTCCTACTACCCTAGGACCACTCCCACTCAAAATCTTAAACAGCAGTATATTACTGAAAACTTCCATCAACAATAGAAAAAAGAGTACATATAGAAAAGGACAACCAAATATTTATTGCTTCATAATTGTGTGTATGGAATAATTCAACGTAATTGGCCCAAAAAAAAAAAACTTGTGCTAAATCACATTTAACCATTTAAGTGGCTCAACTTTGGTGCAATGTTTGCAGTCCAGTTACACTAAACTAAGAAAAACTAGCCTTAGCCAATCCAAAATTTCAGCCACACTCCCAACATGTTGAATCAAACATACAACAATAAGAACAAGAAGTCTTATCCCACTAGGTGGGGTCAGCTACATGGATTGTGTGGTATCTATGTTGAATCAAACATAGAATAAAATAATTTGGTTATCTTCTTCTCAACTCCACCCTGATCACCATAAATTTTATCCTTGTAACACTTCTTTGTAGAACTTATGTTCATGCAGCAGCAATAAGGGGGCCAATTTCTCAGTGGTAACAAGCAAGCAACAAATTAGAAATTGATAATCAAAATTTACATATTAAGGAAATGCTGATATGGTATCAAAACATTAGGGCTTCTAAAAAATAAGAAATTTGAGAAAATGAGATGACTGGTTATCAGTTATAATAGGAGCTTACTGCACGATAAAATCGTAATGCATCTCTTTTAGATACATTCCCATATGACCAACTTCTCACTTGGGCTGATGCTCCCTCAATCATTGGTGTTGCAGGAGCTGAATAGTCTGCTTTCCGGCGTTTCTGAACTCTCTCAGAAGGCTCTGGTTCTTTCTTTTTTCGTTTACTACTTCTTTCAGATTGATTGGCCTCTGCATAGCTTTTAATGTTCCTTGCAGCACGTGGGGCCAAAGCTTCCTAGAAAAGAAAACAGAGAAAAAACCGGGGGGGTGGGGAAGAAAAATAGTATTACATATATTTTGAACTAAACATAAGATAGAGAAATATACGCTAAAACTAAACAAGCAAAATTCTAGAAACAAATTTGGGAGATTTTCTACAAAAAGAGAAATCAGAATAACCAGAACAGATCAATACTTCAGCTTGGGCTATGGCATCAGGTTTTATCCAACGACTCCAGAAACTCCCATCATCTTCATCATTGCAGAAATTAGCAACCTGTAGAAAAGCAAGTTGAAAAGGAATAGCAGCTAAGTAACACCCTTTCCCGACTCAATTATGCTCTGTAAAATAAACATAATCACAAAAGATAAAATAACACAGAAGAACTGAATATCAGATATTGTCCCTGAATCATACCTTAAAGGCACTCAATAACTCATGCCCTTGCTCTCCCTCAGCTTCCTTCTCTTCAACCTTCTCTGCTCTTTCAAGAATCTCATCTATATCCAAACTTAAAAGCCGCGTCTTACTCTCTTCATCATTTCTTTCTTCCTTAAAAAGCTCCTCTGCTCCAAATCTTAAAATTGCTGACAGCTCATTCTGTCATGGAAGATGCAAGAGTTTTATACAATAGGGTAATAAATCAAAAGCAAACACCTAGAGAGTGAAACCAATATGATTCAATAGGTGCCATGTATTAAAAACATATGGACGATATTAGCCCATTAATATCATCTACAAAGGTATCACACAATCCAATAAACTAGCAATTAATCAGTTTTGACATATATCCTTACTTTGTCAAAAAGACCTCCTCCTTTTTTAGCTTCTTTCTTCTCCAGTCTACCCTCTGCATTTAATTTTTGAATGACCAGATGGTCGAGGACCTACAAAGAATGTTCACAAGAAAATGAGTGTAGGCATGTGATAAAACAAGTAGATTGTATAGCTGTGCAAGTGTAAGAGAAAAATATAAATACAAAATTCATGTATAAACCCAGTGTAAAGTTTTTATCTAAAAAATGAAAGTATAGTAAAAAGAAAGGTAAAAGAAATCCATACCATCTTTTTCTTAGCTCGTTCCAAAATATCTTCCTCGACACTTTTGCTTGTCACAAATCTATATATGTTAACAACTTCTTGTTGCCCAATTCTATGAGCTCTACTCATGGCCTAAAAGATGATCAAAAATGAAAGTAGGTATCACAAACCCGTTTTTAAAATGATATTATAACAATGAACATGATAATAGAAAAAATAAACAAGCTAGTACCTGGAGGTCATTTTGAGGATTCCAGTCTGAATCAAATATTATGACAGTGTCTGCTGTGGCAAGATTGATACCCAGACCTCCTGCTCTAGTTGAAAGAAGGAAGCAAAAGTCATCACTACCAGGTGCATTAAAATGATCCATTGCCTGCTGTCGTAACTCAGCCTTTGTACTGCCATCAAGCCTCTGGAATTGAAATCCTCTAAGTGACATATACTCAGCCAGTATATCCAGCATCCTAACCATCTGCATGAGTACATAATAGATTGATTCGTAATTAGAAATTAATACAGAGACAGCCTATCAACAACCAAATATTTGAATGAACTTAATTCAACTATACACATCAGAAATCACCATAATTGTATGTTTAAAGTGAGGATAAGAGAAGGAATGGAATCATTTAACTTAGATCTAAAATCAAGGGAAATATATAAATCAAGCATCCCCTTACCTTCTCCATTTTCCTCATTACAAACATACCCAACAGTAAATATTTGAATCTGATCAATTCTTAAAATGTTTTATATATACATATATATATGATGCAACATTGTTAAGCTAGAAGTTTCCAGTAGGATCATTGATCAAGAACTACATCTGGTGAACCAGTTCCAACAACAAACCTGAGAGAAAATCAGAACACGATGCTTAGTCTCATGTAATCTAACAAGTAGCTTATCAAGTATGACAAGCTTCCCACTGCTGAAGACAATTCTCTCAAGCTTACTGCTATCACTACTTCCTGAGTCCCCCCCATAACCATGGTCAGCACTTTCAAACAGGAAGGGATGGTTGCAGCACTTCTTTAATTCAACCACAATATTAAGCAGAGAAACCTGAAATATGGCAGATACAGAACACTTAAGCTTGTAACAGAGTCAAGAGCAATGAGATTAAGAGGCAACATGATTGTGGGAAAAAAATCATTGACAAACCGACAATCCCAAAAAAAATGGGGGGGGGGATATTTACCATAGTTGAAAGTTGAAACAATGTCCGTTTAAACAGAAGAAATGGAAAGATAAGCCAGACAAGCAATATTACTTTAACCATCTTCCCAAATCATCATCATGGAGAAAAAGCATAGGTATCCCATAAAATAATTCAAAAACATTATTATATTAAGACTATAAAACAATAGTAAGATGACCTGATTCCCACGAACTCCTTTGTTCAAATCATGAAAGTTACGTTCCAAAATCCACTTGTAATACCTATACAAATGAAAAGGTAGCAGGAACATAAAAAGTGAACTCACAAGATCGCTACAAACAGTCTAATTAAAACAAAAAACAGTACTCACTGTTTCTGAAGAGGAGACATTTCAACTCTAAGTATACGCTCAATTTTTGGGGGCAATGATTTCTCTACATCTTTGATAACTCTTCGGAGTATGTGAGGCCTCAATTCCATGTGAAGATTGGCAAGCTAACATGCATAATGAATAGACAACAATTTACCCTATAGAAAAACTCTTGAACAGGATAATTAAGGAAGAGGTAAAATGAATAAATAAAGGATAATAAAGGCAAACCATACCTCATTCTCATTGAAGGAACTCAGATTCTTATAGTTTTGAACAAAATCATCCTTGCTCTTGAACTTATCAGGATCAAGGAAATGAAGCAAAGCCCTAGAAAACAATGAAAGTAACCTGTTATAGAAGAATGAGGAAAACTGAGGCAACCAAAATTAAGTTACCAATATCTTGTCTTGATAATTTCCTTTGTGTGTATATACACATGCATTATGTCATGGTTAAGTAAGAGAGAAACACAATCAGAAATAAACAGAGTGGTGTTCACCACAACATTAAACCATCAACCAAGCAACTAAGAGGTTAAGGAAACAAGAGGAGCATCTTAGAGGAAGGAAAATAGATGTCTATCTTTCCTACATGAATATTATACAGGCATCAAGGCTCTAAAGTACATATGCTAGCTAATTAAGCAATCGCATTGGTCATTTAGTTAAATGTATATTCAATTGAACCTCAATAAAGATCAAAGTAAAATCAGATTGCATTACGTGCTTAGAATTATTGCCATTCATCCAAATAATAAAAAAACCTGCTATTGCACAAAAAAGGTACTTTCCTTTTAACAAGCCAAAAGTAAAGGAAAATAATATTTACCATAGCTCTTCAACACTGTTCTGTAGTGGAGTACCAGTGATAAGCAATTTGTTTTTGGTGCTAAACTCCTAGGAGAACAGGGAAATAAAAATAAGTAAATATTCCCGAAAGAAAAGAATAGAGAGCATCATGAACATTTTAGCATGGACATTAAGAGGAAATGTCACATACTGAAAGTGTAGTGTACAGCTGAGCCTCGCTATTTTTCAGTCTATGAGCCTCATCAACCATCAGATAACTCCATTTAATCTTGGAGAGAACAGCTTTATCCTTCAGAACCACTTCGTATGTAGTCAAGAGGGCATTAAATTTTATAAGCCTGCCAACCTTTTTATCATTATAAAATTCATTCTGTTGACAAACCTGCGACCAGAAAGCAGAAAATCAGGAAAAAAAAGTTACTAGACATTTAATATTAAAAACAATTGAATACAGGACATTTGTAGCTTTCTTTAATGTTACCAAAAAATGAAATATATAACATTACAAATATTAAACCAGCTGCACGAAACTAATCAAGTAGAACAATTTGATCCCATGCTAATTCAAATGACAAATCCTGAAGTATAGAAGAGCTGATTTTTAACTCAAAGGAAACCAACAGAACCACCCCCACTTATTGCAGATAAATATTATGGCAGCCAACTCAAATGGATAAATCACTACAGTTTTCTCTGTCAAAAGAACCCAGTAATACAATTATGGAGCAACAAAACACCAAAAAAAAAGGCAAGGAAAGCAATAAAATTTGTTATATCTTGCTCTCAACAATTAAATCATTAAAAGAAAATTGAAATAAGGCTTTGATAGCTTCAAACATGGCTACCATATCATCTTATCCCACAACATATGTCACGAATTGCAGGCAGCAGTTTCAAAACTTCAAGAGTCAATGATTCAATTGAAAGCTAAAAGAATCAAAATTGTCTTAAAAATATATATAGTTTCAATGAACCAAGCTTGTGGCTTTTAAGATAAACAAGACAGTGCATGCAACCACGGCAAGTAAGGTTAACATCAATGACAATACAGCAGTTAACCAAATACCAAGAAGATGTGGTTAATGAGACAGAGAATGAGTGGGACCACAGCCTACAGGTTCATGATTGAGAAACATATGGCAAACGATCTCTCTCTTAAAGCACACAAAGTGTTTAAATGACAAGAAACAGGGTGACAACATGTGAAACGAATTGTTGATAAAGGTTAAATACCTCTTCCAAATACACATTATCAACCAATTTCCTCTTGAACATTTAAAAAGAAAATTATAAGATAAAAAAAAAAAGAAAAAGAGGTAAACAAACATGTGACTTGGTAACTTATCCCACACTAGACTGGACCCCAACTTCACTAACCTACATAGGATCCAAGGGACACTATGACCTTAAACCAAATCAGCAGACTCGCTGCTCCCACATATAAGAAATAAGGGAATATCAAAGGCAATGGGATAATTGTTGATATTCAAAGCAGCAAGGGACTAAATCTTGCACCCATTTCTAGGTTTTATTATTTTAGCATGCATGAAATTTATATAGATCAGCAGTTAAACTGAAAGGAACAAGTTCCACCAATACGTTAATAATCAAATATCCTACTCATTGTGTAAGGACTTTCACATGTAGACCAGGAATTCAAGAAACATCTCTTACCTCTCGCCCTGCTCGATTACCAACATATACAATAATATTCATATCAGGAAGCCACTTCCTGAATTCTTTAGCCCAGTTTGACAAAGTAGACAAAGGGACAACTACAAGAAAGGGACCATGGATTTGCTGGGCATTCTGTGACAGGAAAAGGATATAATTATTTTCAAAATAGCAAAAGGATCAGGAAGGAAAACAGAAAACTTGTATCATACCTGAAGAAAACCAAGCATTGATACTGACTGAACAGTTTTACCAAGACCCATTTCATCAGCTAAAATAACATTTGTGTCGTTTCTCCAACTGTCATACAATAGGGGAAAATTAGAGCATCTGACAGTGAAAGCATAATATATTTAGACATGCTTACATACCTGTTAACAAGAAAATTCAAACCCTCAAGTTGATAATCACGAAGCTTCCCCCCCTTCAACCACTCAGGCTGTTCATCAAGCTTCCTCAAACTTGCTAAATATCATAAAAGCACATATTACAATAAAATTCTTTTATATATGAAAAATATCACTTATTAAGAGTATGGAACTGGAAAATTACCAGTGTCCACACATATCGGAAGAAACTAAGAAGAAGGCAGAATCAAAAATAAAAGGAAGGCACCAAAATGAAATGCCCATCATAAAGATTTCATTTATCCACTTTCAAATACTTAAAGTTCTGCCACATAAACATAAGTTTATCAATAAATGCTTTTAAAAACATGAATTGAGAATGGAAATATCAGTACAATAATTTTAACTTTTGAACTAATAATTTGATAACTTGATTTGTTGTCGATCACTGTGAAATACACTCAAGTGTTATAACTGCACACCAATGCTTCAACCCCAAAGAATTTATTAATACACAAATCACTAATTTTAAAATCAAATGTTCAATCGATATGGTTCCATCAACTTCATAGTTTCTTGTCATGATAAAAGCATAAACAAAGAGTACTGAAATTCTGATGCACAAAAATTTCTAGACCTAAAAATTTCTGTTATACATGAAACAGTTCAAGGACAAAACCCATTAAAGTAACAGAATTATTGGCAATAGATTCATTCTTTAAATCTAGACCCAGAAATCTACGCATGAGCATAGGGTATTGCAATTCTGCAACACAAGGATTTTAAGGCCTAAGTTTGGAAACCAGGACAAAGATGAGAGAAAGCAACTGATATATGGGAATTGGGAATATTAATATCATTTACAAGACCCCATCAAATCCTTAGGACCCTATTTATAGAGATATTTAGCATATTCCCAAATTACCCTTTTACCCCTTAAATCCCCTAATTACCCTTTACTATTCCTAATTCCCATATATCAGCAACCCAGTTATATAGCAATATTAGCGAAATAATATCAGAACTGAAAAATTTGTTACATAAATTAGCCAAGAACATAAAGGGAAAATGCCAAGAGCTAAAACAATACTGCACCAAAAGCCAAATCAAGGATACAAGGCAGCCAAAGCACAATTGCAATTGTTCATAGTTTCATAGAACCAAGGCACAGAAACATGCATTTCATATCAGTCCCACAGAATGCCTGGCCGCATACGAGTTTGAATAATACAAAATAGATTACAAACCTTTACTCTTCTTGCGTTGTAGATCTACCATCTTTCCTTGAACAGACATTGCAGCCTCACGAGCCTGCTCAAAGGTGACAGAACAAAATGCTTACTGCTATGTGATAATAATTTGAGAACATTAGCAGAGTTTCCCCGTGTGGATTTGCTTGCAGACAACACACAGCACAGTTAAAAAAAAATACAGGTGCCAAAATACAAATTGGACAGAAACAACAACAACAAGCCATATCACACTAGGTGGGGCCGGCCACACAAATTGGACAGAAACAATAAAAGAAAAGTCCAGCAGCTATAAGACCCCTTCTGAGACATCTGCTCATGAGGTAGAAGATGCACAAAATAACTATTGACAGAAGGGAGGGAGGAAATATAAGTATTGATCCCTGCAAACCAACCATGGTGCAGAAGTTAGACGACTAATTGTTCTGTCTCTTGCAAAATCCAGCTTCCCAGTCAAATGAGAGGTTTTGCCATAATGTGTCAAATGCATGGAAGGCTGGACACTCTAACATGGCACAGTTTTAATAGTACACTCCTCTGGTACTATTTATAAGTCATTTCTACCAACCTCATCAATACCCAATGCAAAAAAAGTGAAAGGAATAGAAGTATGTAAAATTCCAAATATGTCCCTATATAACAAATCTAAAAAATGATGTCATGTTATTTTTTCTCTCTCATGAAGGGTAATTTTGGAAATATTTCTCAAATATTACCTAAAAAGACACACCATGACTTATAAATTAGACCAAATGGACCTTGTAGAATGTGCCTTATAAATGAGACCAGGGAAGTATGATACTCCAAAAGTAGGGCTAGCACCAAAGAGAATATGTTCTCCTAAATGCACCACTAGGGCCAAGACCTAGGAGAATTTACCCTCCTTAAAACACCAATCCCATGTGAGGGATGCAAATGCTTCCTAAGTAAGCCCTAATTTTTTTTAGGCAATGGCATGTAAATTTATGCATGCTAAAAGTAAAAGCCAAATAGATAGCTATTAACTTGTGCACTAGAAGGCCAGAAAAAAAAAACTTCTATACAAGGATGATGGCAAAAGACAAGTCCAGAGGACAACGTTCCCTTTCAATAATAATTTGGAAAAAATAAATCATTTGGCCCTCATAGTTTTACAACTCTAACTTAGTTCCTCAAGATTTAGCCATTTAATCCATTGATCCCTACACTTTATGACTTGTTACAACTCAATCCCCAAAGAACAAGACATTTTCTAAAAATATAGGGACCAATAGATTAAATGGTTAAAACTTGAGAGACTAAATTTAAAACAAGTCAAAATTATAAAGACTAAACAGTTAATTTCCCTAATAATTTATTAAAATAAAATATGTTACCTTGTACTCATCAATAGCATGTTGAGCAAAAGCAATATCTATGTCCTTCTCCCTAGCACAAAATGCAAAAAAAAAAAAAAACATTAGTATTCCACACTTGATAGTATCAATGCACAAAGATCAACTAATATTAGCAGATACCACATAAAATAGAGAAACATTATACTCACACGTAAGTACCTAAAACAACAGGGTAATAAAATCAACTTTTCCTTTCTAATCAAAAGTTAAAAGGCCTTAGATATGTACAGCAAAATAAAGGCACAAGTCAATCTATAATAACTTTGCCGTACCATGTCACTTCAGCATAAGATAGCCCTTGCCACTTGACCAAATATTCTATAATAACATTGCCAGAATTATCTTTGCTGATTCGATCTGCAATGATTCTTTCCACCTGAAAAAACAAATCTTGACTAAATTAGATGTTATACATCGTAAAACCAAGAAAAATGAAACATCAAAGTCACAATGCAGAAAAACAGACCTGACTATTTTGCTTGATAATATCTAAATCCATCTCCTTACTCACATCATTGACCTCAATCTACAAACAGCACCAGGAAATGGTTAAAAATTGAAACATGCCTGACACTTGGATAATAGCAAGATATAAGTCAAAAGTAAGCTTTGAATGATAATCATTCAGGAGAGATTCGATACTAAGTACAAACATGAAGCATGAAATCATTTTCCCCAGCAGTGAGCTGATAGGAATTAAATATCTATACATATATATATATATATGATAAAGAAAGGATCCGATCCATAAGAACATCAACCAAGTGATTGTAACCAGCAGTTAAGCATACAGTAAAGGGATAGACAATTTTTTTAAGAAGCAAATAATATATTGCCACTACTCTCACAGTAATTACACTAAAAAGTTCACTTACAAGTAAATTATATTTGGCAAAATACAATGCAATTCTACTCATAACAAATAATATTTCAACCATACCAGAATATATAAGGGGGGTGCGGGAAGGCAATATTTTTCTGTTCAAGCACATTTACCTCCTCTCTTGAAATTGTGTTCCTGTACCTAATGTCCTCTGTCACTTTCTTCGTATAATTTAAAACCTTCTTAAAACCACTGAGCTGCAATCTCACATAAACAACAAACAGCAAGTACGAGACTTGAGCAAGACCCATTGAATAAACAATTAACTCAAAAAAAAAAAAAGAGCAGAATCATCACTAAAGACTTTGAAAGGAAAAAAAAAATAAAAACAGGTGTAGATAAAGTAAATAGCATCATCAACAATAAGAATGAGAAGTATACATTTTGAAGTTCAGCAAATGACTTCCATTGACAGTGCAAATGTGACTGGCCTTTCCATTTTATTAAGAATTCCATCTCATTCCAATCAGGTTCAGAATCAAACAAATTACTCCATAAAACAGGTTCTGTTGATCTATTATTCCTCTGCGCCTCATCAGCCATGCCCTTAGGCTGATGCCAAAGCACCTTTTCAATGGAGTCACCATCTTCCTCTTCAAGTTCTTCCTAAAGAAACCGAGAATAATTGATAGACAAACAATGGGAAATCAAAGAAAAAGAGCACATTAAAGTAATTAAAGCCAATAACTATTTAACCACACACCTGCAAGTCATGTCCATATGACCCAGAAATTAATTATAATATCATTACTCAAAAATTAAACCTTTTTGCATAAAATTTGCAAAATCATCAGATCAGGAGCAAGTTAAACCCTTAAAAGATAAGAAAAAACAATACCACCACGTCAAACAAAGTTCAGGCATACTTAGTCTGCATATAAGTTATGCTAAATTGAAGACTTAAAAACAGCCAACTAGCATATAATAAAATGTTCAAATTACACCCCCTTTAGCACCCAATAAAACATCAAATAAATAAAAATTCATCTTAGCAGACAGAAAAAAGTACTTTGTCCTAAATCATCTCTAATCACCAGAGATAATGCAATGGAATACGTTCTACTTATATATAGCATGCTGGTATCACTATAGTTCAATTTTTTACCGAGCTTTCTTGCATGTGAACCACTCAACATATGGGAAAATCACTATAAAGATATATTCCAGAATACTTGCAGCTAAAAGACAATTAAAATTCATGTTCAAGATAGACAAAAGCATCAATAAAGACCCATGCATTGTAGGCTGTACTTTTTGGGACTTCTTCTTCTTTCCTTCATCTGCTTCTTCACTTTCTTCACTTTCAACATATGACACCTTCTTCCTAACTGTCCTGCTAGATGTGCGAACCTCACTGTTCCGGCCAGAAAAACTTGCAGCCGCAGAAGAACGAACATTATTCTTGCGAGCATTAGCACCTCTCTTTCTCATGCTTTTGAAATCATCACTTTCACTCTCAGAATCCTCTGCTGTTGATTCATCCTCTTCAAAAGATGTTTTAGGTTTTCTTTGCCGAGCAGGTGCAGCAAATGATTTGCGTTCTCTAGTAGGTTTTACAGTTCGTCCCACTTTACCACGTTGCCTCCCCGAAGGTTTTTTTGCATAGTAGGTATCATCGTCATCTGAAACATCTACATTATCAATAATATCATCATCTTCATCTGATTCTTCACCCTCCCAATCTCTATCCTGAAATCGTTGTTCAAAGAATTAATCACTCACAGAAATACCCACCAACTAAAGGCAAAGAAAGCTAACTCCTAAACTAACATAAACCAACAAAAGAGCATTAGAAACACATGCGACCATCTGTAAACTGAATTTCTCATATTATCCACGCCTGTCTTCATCACACTTATACTACAAACGAAGAACTAATCCAATACCATGAATTGAATCAAAGGAAGTAAATAAAATTTTATGAAAATATATTCCTTTTGGAAGAATACAAATGCAGATAGGTCGTGTTATCGGAAGAGGTTGGAAACGTAGAAAAAGACAAGCCAACTATGACCCTCACACTCCCCTTCCCCTTCTCAAATTATTGAACCCAAATAAGAATTAAGTTTCCTTCCTGTCTCCCTCATTATCATCTTCCGAATCTATGAAGGAAAGCCTTTTAGTTTGTCATGTAAACATCAATGTTTGACCAGCCCTAAAATAGACATCTCCACGTTTCAAAGTTCTAAACATACTGTAAAAGAAGCCAATGGATAAACACTAAAGAGAAGCATCTTCCAAATAAAACTATTTTGCTCCAACTGAATTTACCATACAACCACATAAGACAACACACAGCAAATAAGCCTTGCCTTGTTTACTTGTGCCAGAAGCTCCGAAACTAATCACTAAAATGTGCTCCCAAGCCAAAAGGCAAACTAAAGTTCACTTCCAGGAAAAAAAATAAAAAATAAAAATTATTGCACTTTAGTCTAAATATAAGTGCCTGTCAAACAATCTGAAATTGTACGTGAGCATTTTTCCAAAATTAACTACACGTGACACACTTAAGATAAAAGTAAAACCCGATCTAGAATCTCTATAAGACACAACAGAAAGAGTGCATAAATTATCAAAACCAGACTCCTTAGCTTCTTAAAATCTCCTTTGATTCTCACCCAAATCTCCTTAGAAAGGGTCAAATGAAAGTTCTCTCAACTAACTCAAAGCTAAAACTTACCATACATCTATTCCATTATATCATAGTAATTTACAAAAAAAAATGTTCAATATCTTTACAGCTATGCAATCCCTTCAATCCACTATCCAATTCTAAAAGCTCCATAAGTAATTCATTTCCAAATTCAACCCAGTCCTATACAGTTATCAGATCCTGTTTATCCATCATCCTATTTCTCTGGGGAAAAATACAAACACCATCTATGAGCTGATAACATTTTTCTCATAAGAAATAAATTCATTTGACTAAATTAAGCACCCAGCTTATTTCTCCTCGCAATCTAACAATATATTTCTGTCCAACTCAACAGGACAATTGATAAAAGATTCCAGTTATACATTTCTGGAATATCATCCCAAGGCAAAATATCACAAAAATCATCAAAGAAAGTACTCCCTCCGGTCCACTTTATAGGTCACCTTCTAGAAGGGTGAAGTGGTCCATTTTATAAGTCATTGAATTGATAGTTATGTTTTGTTTTAAATGAAAATGCCTAAACAACCCTTAAAAAGTAAGAGAGAGGGAAACAAAAAAATAATATTATATAGTTTATTTACTTTTTGAGTGTTATGTCTGTAATTTTACAAAATTTCATTCTTTATACTTTTGTTGTATTGGTATTGATAAAGTTGGTAGAAATATTTATAAATAAGACCAGAGGGAGTAAAAAGAATTCAAAATATAAAAAGAACAATGAAGAGAAAGACGGTTGCAAATGGAGTATATTCATTCCATCCAAGATGGCTGCCTCCCGATAGAAACTTTTTAAAGTGCGCCATGTGCTAAACATAAAGAAGGTGAAATGAAAATGAAATAAAATTTAATACTTATAGCAACAGAAATGTAAGACCTTGTTTGCAGAACGACCACTTGTGGCAGGCTCAAAGTCCACATCATCAGGATCATCTTCTGCGTGGAATTCACCATCAAAATATTAAAACAAAAATATCAAAAGCAACATAAGAGGAGTTTATCTCTAATCAAAACCGGGGAACAAAGGATAGAACCAGCTTTTTTCAATAATTAAAAACCAGGAATGGCATCAAATCAAACTATATAAAAACAACGTTTAGCATACCATCTGCTTCATCCTCCTCTTCATAATCAGCATCACCGTCATCATTATCATTATCACCATCACCTTCATCATCTTCCACAACATCTGAAATCCTAGAATTCCTATTTGCACGACTATTGACAGTATTAGACATCTGTTGAGGCCACGAATTTGATCCAGTCGGTTGATGAATCCCCCTGTAATGCAATGAATCACTGTGCTCTTCCTGCTCATAATATTCATCAGACAACATCTCCTCAGCAGGCACATCAGAATGGCCTCTTGGACCTTTTCCTGCTTCTTTCTGTCCATCATCATCTTCTGAATCTAATCTTTCCCCTCTTCCATCTGATGAATTATCTTCAGCCCCTTCTGCATTTCTATAGTCTGATCCACTTTGTGATTCTTGCCCATATTCCTGCCCATTCTGATGGCTCATAGGCTGGCAGTCCTTCCAAAAAGTTGAACCCCACCTTCCAACCATAGCAGTTTTACTTCCAGTAGACTGGATGTCACCAACTTCATCAGCTGTAGCCTCATTTTGCAGTCTACCATCTGGTTCACCATCACTATGATACTGAGCATCCATGTTCATATCGAACTCTTTCTCACTTGAAGATGCATCAGCACATTCGTTGCCAACTGATTTGCGGATTCTATCAGCATTTTGTCCTTGGCCTTTTTCTTCCAGGACACTATGTGAAACTGTTTCATTTGAAAAGTTCCTGAAGAAAGCCATAGAACCATATGGGACTTCCTTGCAAACTTCTTTACCTCTATCTCCACACCGTAATGGTGACAAAAATAAATATAGCCAGCTCTACGTCCCTAGGTGATTTTGTTATCTTCTAATTCCAGAAGGTCAGAATCTGATTGACAAAAAGAATCTCATCAGCAGAATACTTGGCCATGATCAAGCGACAAGTCATACAATGATAACATGCTACTGATGAGTGCAAATTAAATTATATCACAAAATAGGAAAAACAGAATTTGATGTGCCCTGGGTAAAAGGTGATATATAAATTGCATCTTGTGCTTGTTAAATGAATTCACACTTCAACCCACAAAGTATGCTCAGCTTAAAATGGTCAAATTAGTGGGTATCAATTGATTGCAATTCATGAGCTGACTTCTCTTTTTCGAGTAGCCAAGAAAATAACTGTTTCATGAGCGAGTCAATGTTCGTCTTGGAAACTAAAGTTTCATGTGTAATTCTAGAAGTTGAACATGATACACGTCCATTCTGAACTTCAAATTCTAGTTAAAAACACACCAATCAGCATAAAACCAATTTTCTAGAAGAATTGCAATTTTAATGGAGGAAATACTGCTTAAAATGAGCGCCTAACGGTCAAATAACGAATTTCACTAAACCCATACCGGACAAACTCAAATTCCAACACGTTGCAATGCACAATTCATCGACATCCGATCAAAAACAAGTTCAATAGCCAAAAGCAATGAGAAAGGCGAATCGAAGGGGGGAAACAACGGATCAGCAAGCAAATTGACAGGAAGTGCATGGAGCTCGTCACTAAAACCCCCAAGACTGAGAGACCCCCAAACTCCCCACCGCAAAAGGACCTAAATCCACGATCGGATGACCTAATTTCGCAAGAAAATCACTACGCAATGAACTAATCACGGAGAGCAGGCGAGCGGATGATGGAAGAGCTAGCGGCTCACCTTCCTATCAATAGAAAGAGAAAACACAGGTTACACTAATTCGGTCAAATAGAAGAACCACGAGGACCAACGGTGCGCATGTTAATAATCGTGCGCACCTTCTCCGACAGCGAGACGCCGGAAAATGAATCACCGGCGGTGTTTATCACAGAAGGACAAGTCGCAAATAGCGTTCGGTTCTAACGACCCGCCGCGAGATTTTTAAATGGTTAACAACAGCGGAGGCAAGGCAGAGATTCGCCGAGTGCGGCGGCGGCGAGGTTAACGTCGGATTTTAAGTGTAAAAGCGATGAAGCGATTTGGATTAATCGACGATGGGGTGCTTGTTCAGATGAAGGGCGAAGAGAGAGAATGAAAAGACTTTCGCCTTATTTTTTTTCTAGAGAGAGACAGAGAGAAAAAAAATTAGACGATGAGAGATATATTGTGCTTTTTAGAATTAAATTTTCGTTTGGAGAAACGTGTTTATAGTCGCGCTCTCTCTACTCCCTCTCTCTACATGTTCATTTTTACCCTTTTAACCTAAACGAACCAGATCGACCCACGTGGCGATAACGGTGCCGGGTTTACGATCGGACGGCTAATAGTTTGTATTTTTTAATTTTTTATTTTAGTTTTCGAGAGGAAATTGGAGAGCCGAGCCATTAGAAAAGAGGGTTCTTCTTATGCTGCTTCACTGTCCTGCGGAATTTGGATGCGTCATATCAAATTGACTGTTATGTCCCTCCATGGAGAGATTCAACGTAGGGTAGTAATTGGCACTCGAGACCCAAAAAAATTAAAAATAAGTTGGATCAGTGGCCAAAAATATGAGTAATTTGGATAAATTAGTGTGGGTTTTTTTTTGGGCCAAAAAATTAGTGTGGGTTCAAATTATTGGAAGTCTGAGAATTAAGTCATATTTTTATATATTGTATACAGATTTTGTTGCCAGAATCATTACGTATATGGATAGATGGATGTATAAATATATAGATATTTTATGTAATGATATTGATGATCTGAAGATAATATTTATGGTTCATTTTTAGAATTAAATGTTTTTTAAATCATTTTTTATTTAAGTAAAAGTAATTATTTTATTTCAATTCTTTGCGAGTGAGATAGAATGCAGTTTAATGCTAACAAGAGCAAATACTGTGCCTAGGACACAAGGCAATTAGTTAGTTAAAAGAATTTTTGTGCATGAAATATTTTCATTGCTTTAAAAGAATTAGCAACTATATAATTTATTTTCATAATATAATACTTGAACAATAAAATAAGAGTTGAACAACATCCAACAATTATGGTATGGTGTTTTTGTGAATAAATAATAATATGTTGGTTTGGTATTTTTGTAAATAAATGAGAATTGAACAATAAAATAACAACATTTAGCAAGTCTGCGTGTAAATGATCCATACGATACAAAGGTTGTGGTGTTTCTGGGAAAAATAATAACATAGTGATATATTATTCATGATAACTCTCTGCCGTGATCTTTTTCTTATAGTTTAAAGGGAAAAAAAAATTGTATATAATAAAGTTGCTGCACAGCACCTTGCATTTTGAAAATTTGACCATTTTGTATTAAAAAAATGCATATATGGTTTTGGGTCAATGGAGAGTAACGATCATCATCATTTATCACTTCCCTTAACGTATGCTTGGTTATTACTGTTATTTTTATAAAAGTAATATTTGTTATTTATCATCATGTGTCACACATTCTTTTAAACTATAAGTCATAGTAATTTTTTCCTGATGTAATTAAAACACAATATATTTGCCTCAACATTAGATGCCCTAACGTTGATCATTAAAAATACTAACTAGAACTTAAATTTAACCAAAAAATTAAATATCCTAATGCATTAAACACCCACCTATCATGCCAAATGGATCCGAATTAAGGTGCATTGAATGTCCCAAACTATATATGTCATAGCAATTTTATCTCTAAACTAATGAAAACGTAATATGTTTTTGCACATCCATAAATAGCTTGAGCAAATTCATTTTCTATTCTCCATTTTTCAATCTAATCAAAATAAAAATAAGTTCAACCTGTCTGAACTATCAGCTTTAAATTGGGAAGGGAGGATAACATTTTTAACTGTAAGAAAAACTTTGAACTAATATTGGGAGGATAAGTAGGCAAGACTAATTAACAGTAGAATGTATAAAAAAGCAATAATTAAATATGATGGGATTGGCCAACTGAGATAAAGAAGTTCCACCCAATAATATACTCCCGCATCGTTTCTCTCCCTATCTCTTTGCAGTTTATTGTTAAATCTTATATGATTTCTTCTTCCCAAACATCCATAATTAAACACAGCATTTTAAATAAAAATAAAAAGAATGGAAAAAAATAAAGGAAGAATGGCAATAAAATCCATCTAAAATATATAAATAATAATTTAATCCTTTAAAATATCATAATTTCACTGTATTTTTTAGAGACTTTTTATCATTAATGAATTTATATGAATAAACAAATTGCCCTTGTTGAAAATAAAACAATTCATAAGTTTTATTTAAATAATCACAACTTTCTCTGTTATATTCACAACAATGCAATAGCAAATCAAGAATTTAACATACAAAGTTATAATTTATTATTGTATTATTGCAAATATAAGAAGAAAAGTTATGATTATTAAAAAAACTTGTGAATCTTTTTATTTTTAACAAGGACAATTTGATCATTTATATAAATTAATTAATGACAGAAAAGTTCCTAAGGATTTCAGTGAAATTATGACATTTTGAGAAACTAAATTGTCATTTATATATTTCAAAGGAACTTTATTTTCATTTTTTCAAAAATAAATTTGCTTGAGTTATTTAAAAATGTTTGGAATTATACTATGTTTTAATTACTTTATGTGCAAAATTGCTATAACTCAAATAATCTAAGATATTGGGTACTACTCAGAGATTAATCCAAGCGCAAAAATACCCTTTAACTAGAATTCAGTAGGCATGACAAGTGGTATTTTCGATCAAACATAAGTCCTAATCATTATTTTTAATAGTCAACATTAGGGTATTTAATGTCAAGAGCAAGTATATTACATTTTGATTACTTTAAAAGCAAAATTGCTACAACAAATAGTTCTGGACACTAAATACTACTCGAACAATAGTTAGAAGAAAAAAAATGCACTTTAACATTTTTTTTTGTTTGGCTGAACTTGGTTTAGTGTTCAAAAAAAGGTCTTATATTGGACAAAGTTAAATTGGATAAGATGAATATAAATTAAGAAAAATTTGTAGAGACATACAACGTAAGGTAGTAATTTATATTAACGATGACGATGACAACAACAACAACAATTTGGATCAATGACAAAATATAAGGGTAATTTGGATAAATCAGCGTGGGTTTAAAATATAGGAAGTCTAAGAATTAAGTTATATTGTTATGCGACACAACTTGTTATTGTTTTTATATATTATATGTAAAGTTTTGTTTTGCCAAAATCATTACATAAATAGATGGATGCACAAATGTATAGATATTTTATGTCATGATATTGATGATCTGAAAATAATATTTATGGTTCATTTTAGAATTAATTGTTTTTTGAACCATTTTTTATTCAAGGTAAAATAATTATTCTATTACAAGTCTTTGCAAGTGAGATAGAATGCAATTTTTTGAGTGAAGAGAAAATATCATTAGAACTAAAAAGTTGTACAAGAAGCTAAGAAATTACATCAAAAATATTGATGGTAGAAAAGGAACGCAAAGTATGTCTAATAATGGCTCTCACATAAGAGAGGACTATGTAAATATCAAAAGTTTCATTAATAAAAAGATGCATGTTCCTAATGTTCCAAAGCTTCCAACAAACAATGCTGGTTCCTACCTTCTAAGAAATGTCAAGGCTAGCATTATATAGGCAGGAAACTAGCCAAGATCAATTTCTTTTCCATAAAAATCAAAACACATATCAACTGGTAATATTTGCTTCTAGACTGTCACAGTAAAAGGCCGTTCCTTAATAACATAAGTAATTGTTTCAGTAGGGGCACTGCAAAGTGCACATTGCAGGTCCTATATAAAGTTCCTCCAAGCTCTTTCAACATTTGTTAGAAGTTTGCCTTTGAGCAGTAACCAAATAAAGGTTCTGACCCTTAAGCCATTGGAAGCTTCTAAAGTTTAGTCCAAGTACTACAGGGATCCTACCAATATAGAGTTTTCAAAGCAATATAGAAATACTTAACTATAAATTTACCATTCCCTGTGAGATTCCATATGTAAGAGTGACTAGAAGGATCTTCTAGTATGATTTTAACACTAGCAATGTGATCAAGAATATCTTATAGGAGTAATTGATCAAACGAGTTCCATTTCCATCTTCCACGGTTATTAACATAATCAAATATTGATCATTGAAGATCTTGAGCGTCAACATTAGCAAAAGACAAATATTTAAGAGGGCCCAAGTCCCCAACCTAAAAATCAGACCAGAATCAAACCATTACTTGGTTTCCCTTTGATGTGCATCATCATATCTTGCCATACTTTGGTGATGTTTTTCCAAAAGTAAGAGCAATGGCATCTGCTGATGTCCTAAGAGGGATTGTTAGTAATTCTATATTTTCCCTTGAGAATGCAAATCCAAAGATAATCTAGCTCAGCTATGATTTTGAAAGCTAGTTTTGATAGAAAAGCTCTATTTTGAGCTTCGAGATTAAGAAGTACACAGCCACCATTTTTAAATAGTTGACAAAGCTCTCTCCATTTAACTAAAGTAGTTCCACAGTGGTCATCAGAGTATCCCCAAATGAACTTTCTAACAATTTTCTCAATAGCATTACAACAAGTGCTCGAAATCATAATACTTTGCATTGTGTAAAGAGGGATGGATGAAAGCACAAATTAGGCCAATGTGATCCTTCCAGCTAAAAAGAGTGACTAGCTTTTCCACCCTACTAACTTCTGATTTAATCTTTATAGAATATAGTTGAAAGTTTTAGAGGTCACTCTACCAATAATCAAAGGGACACCAAGGTAATGGCTAAAGGAATCTGTGTAAGTATAACCCAGTCATTGACAAATAGCAACACATGATGAAGAAGTAACATTTTTTGAAAAGTAAACCTATATTTTTTAGTTACTCACAAATTAACCAGAAGAGGCACAAAAGTTATGTAGCACTTGTTTAACAACCTCCACCTATGCATCAAAGGTGTCTCTAAAAAGAATCAAATCATCAACAAAAAATAAGTGAGATAAGGAAATCCCTCAATGTCCCATTTTAATTGTTTGATAATTGTTTTAGAAAACTTCAAAACAGAAAGCCTGTGAAAGTCTCTCCATGTAAAGAATAAAAATATACGAGGATAAAGGGTTACCTTGCCTAATCCCTCTCATTAGAGAAAAAGAGGATGACGGTTTATCATTCCATAGTATTTGCATT